CCGATTTCTACGGCTGAAATTAGTCTTAGAAGCTTACTATGCTTAATTTTATATTTAGTCCTTTGCTGTTTCTTTGAATTTGAACCTTATTACTACAATCATAAAGAGCCAATTCCAATGATGTTGATCGGAGCATAAAATCAACATATACGGATTATTGACGGGACTATCAAGGACGTCGCTTACAGAGGATTTGCCTAATTCATAGTGCAAGTGTCGTCGATACAGTGACGCGTGGAGATTCAACCCTGGCATCTTTTACACCGAGCTGTAATTTTGTATGAATTATTTATTTTATTTATTTATTTCCTTATTATCGTGTCTTTATTAGACAGATTCCAAATCGACAAGGTACAACAAACGACACTGGTTTGGATTTTACAATAAGGTTGTGGAATGAGCTCCCTGCCGAGGTTTTCCCAAGAGACTACAGCATGGGGTTCTTCAAATGGGCGGTAAAGAGGTTTCTTCAGGGTCGGCAACGCACGCGTAATACCTCTGGTATTGCAGGTGTTCATAGTCTACGGTAACCACTTACCATCAGGTGAGCCGTATGCTTGTTTGCCACCTCAGTGGTATAAAAAAAAACATAAAATAGACATTCCAGCTTTTGTGAATTCTGTCAGAGAACATTAAAAAGAGATCAGTAGCTGCATTAGAAATGTTATTTGATAGAACAGGTGCTCGAATGAAAGGTGTATGTAGTTTTTTTTCTAAATCCCAAATCTATACGAACACACGGGAATATTCTGATGGTTAATTTCGGCCACAAAATACACTGCTATTCAAAAAAAGTATATAAAAGTAGTATAAATTAAGTTGTGTTGTTATATAATAAAAATGAATTAACTTGGTAAAACTGATCATGTTTCGGTAATTCAGCTTATGTAGAAACAGTTATATACGCACAGATTATAAAAAAAAAAAACTTAAATTAGCAGTTACAAAAAGCCGGAACATCGTATGTTTCCGTGGAAAAGCACAAAGCTCAACTCTTCTTTCTCAGCTCTTCACTCTCGAGGGCCGGTTTATTTAACAAGTTCCACGACTGGGATTGTAGTTCTTTTTAACCAACTTCAAAAAGACGGTCATTTTCAACTATTCTACATCGGGACCACACGGCAATTTCAAATTTTAGAACAAAAGTATTTATCCTAAATCCTATCCTTATTTGTATATAATAATTACTCACATGAGATAAATTTATTTAAATAATTAAAATGTCGAAATATATTGGAGAAACATTTAGTTTTACTTATAGAACACTCCCTTAATGTGTATATTATTACTTCTCCTTAAGTTGCCATCTCCTACCGAAAAGGGCGATCATTATGTCAATCTTTACTATATCCACTGCTATCCTGAAAAGGGATCTGGTGTTAATTCCGAACCACTGTCTTAGATATTTTAACCAGCCATCTTGGATGTTTCCCTGTATTATAAGTTGCAGAAGACTGTATTTTCTATTATGTGTCTTAAGTCTGTACCTAGGCGACTAACATTACAGTGTTTTACAATATTTATTAATTCTGCCTTTTTGTCTATTCTCTGTAGAACATTCTCTTTACGTATATTTTTACACTACGGTGTGATTTGTGTACGAAAACACCATATTGACGTGAGTGGATTAATTCGGCGTGTCGAACACATAGAGCTATGTACTTAATACAGTACATTGTTGTTGGTACCATTTGTCATGGATGAATGGTTATTGCATAGCTTGTTACCCTGCATTTCATGTGCTTACTATGCCATGAATAATGAGCTTTTTATATCTAAGTATAGAAGGAAGTTATAATTATATTGTTCCATATAAAAAATACCGACTTAACCCTTAAAAAAGCCTGATTTTTTAAATCAAATTTAAAAATATATAAGTGTACCCGTTACTGTGTTTACTAATGGGGAAAAATAGTAAAAAAAAAAAACAAAACGATATTTTTATATATTTATTTTGAAAAAAACATTTGGTAACATGTAAACTGCCAAATATTAAAATAAAATCGATTGTAGGCGCCCAATGCGATTTATAACTCTGGTATCAAATTTGAAACTTCTGGTATTTAAGGATTAAATCGAGATAAAACCAGTTATTTTGATTTTTAAACTAAAGTACTGAACCGATTTCGATAAAATTTGTATAAGACTGAAAGCGTATTCTTTCAGATAATTTTTTAAAGGAGAATAGATAAATATATAGTAGGTGTTTTTTTTTTAATGATATAATAATTGTAACCCCGCCAGAGTTATCGGTATACGTTGGCGGGGTACCAGTGAGAGGTAATAGGTGAGGATGAAAACAGGTCAGTTAGCCCATCGTGACGAATTCAACAAGAACTGTTCACGATGGTTTCCAGGGGGAACCACGTGGCGGTTGACCTGATATATATTGCTAGCAATGGGGCTGTCAAACTCCAGTTCTAACAAACCCTTTCCCCCCTAGTATAGGTGGTGTTATAGGCCGTATGGTCCCGGTATAGAACAGGCTACCCCTTCCTTTTCCGTGGTGTAGGTGTCGTAAGAGGCGACAAAGGAAGGCTGAGGGATAGGCAGCAGCGCCCCTCTTACATCTCCAAAGTCTAACTGCGGTTGCTAATCCGCCTGTCAAGTCTAGCAACTACGGGCAAAACCCCCCAAAAGGGAGGCTTATATTCAAAAGTGGACAGATGATGATGATGATGATGATGATGATACTTGATGTTGTCGATGCATGAATTGTTCAGTTCCTAGCAAAATGGCGACATTTGCATGCTATTCTGTAAATGGCTAAATATGCTCGAAATTTTATGTAAAACTAGCTGTTGCCCGCGACTTCGACCGCGTTTCCGTCGTTTTTCGTAAAATAAGTAGCCTACGTCCTTCCTCGCGGTTCAGTGGTTTTGATGTAACACACACATTTCCCTTCACTGCTCTGCTCCTATTGATAGTAGCGTGACGAAAAGTATACTATAACCTGCCCAGGAGTATGGAGAATAATTGTACCAAGTTTCGTTAAAATCCGTCGAGTAGTTTTTGTTTCTGTAACGAACATACAGACAGACAGATAAAAATTTTACTGATTGCATTTCTGGCATCAGTATCGATCACTAATCACCCCCCGATAGTTATTTTGGAAATATATTTCATGTACAGAATCGACCTCTCTACAGATTTATTATAAGTATAAATAAGACCACCGACACTTACTCTGTTTAACATAAATAAATTTATTATTACCTACTTAAAAAATGTAATGTTTCAAATTGCTTTATAAATGACGGAGTACTGAGGTAACAAACAAAAAACTAAATGAAGAACCTCTTCTTTTTAAGTCGGTAGAAAAATAAATAAATCTTAAAACAAAAAAAAAAACCTTAAAAAGCGAAACCGGTCAAGTGTTTATTATAATAATTTATAGAATGTTTATAAATATATATATATATATATATATATATATATATATATATATATATATATATATATATATATATATATATATATATATATATATATATATATATATATATGTTTATGCAATGATATCTATATTATTTTGTCTCTGGTCGTTTGTTTTGTCTATTTATTAAAACAGTAACCCTCGACGCAAAAAGTCATAAGTTTGACGTGTCTGAGTATTGTTTTTATACCATGAATGTCGCAAACGTACTGGCTGTTGGTAAACTGTCACTGTGGCGATAGGGGGGGGAGCTGTTCGTAATGCGGACTACAAGTCCCATTATCAGCAATATACCCTGTCAGGTTGACCTCCACGCGGTTCCCTTTGGAAACCATCGTGTGATTTTTTTTTATACAACTTAGAATGGCAAACAAGCTGACGTCCCACCTGATGGAAAGTGGTAACCGTCGCCTATGGACATGTGATTCAACAAAACTTTGTTACTACCTGATTAATTACATTTCATGACTTCATCGCGACACTAAACTCTGTCTATTCCAAAAAAGTAATATCAAAATTGGTTCAACATGCGTAAAGATGTGCCACCTTTACAAAAAACACAGATGAATCGAGAAATCCCTCCTTTTTAAATTTTATTATATGTAATAACTAGTATCAGATTGTGATAATTAACATGTTTATATCAAACTCATATTTGATAATAAGAATTACGTATGCATATGCAAAGACTTGTTTGGTTTTATTTTTTTCAACCGGTTTTCCTCGTCGGTTCAATGTTGCAGTAAATTAATATAAATCGTCTTTTTGCTGCATGACTAATATTTGTTTTAACATTGTTCACTTAATTATTTGTTATGCGCTATTGCGACGTAGAGAAAGTATTTATTTATTAATTTTTTTAGAATGAAAATGATTGGTATGTTCAGATGACTGATTGTCTATGGTAATGGTAGACAAAAGCAAGGCATCAGTGGTGGATGAAATGAAGAAGTTAGGTTAGTAGGCCAATTGTGGTAAATTTACTGGGAATTAACCATGTTTTTCAGAGGGAACCGCTTGGAGGTCTAGCTGTCAGGATAAGTACCATTCCTCTCTCCGACAATAACTGACTATTTATACACCTTGTTGTATCAGTTTTTTTTATGGTATATACATATAAACTAAGGTCGAATAAAATACGAAAATATGGTTTCACCATGTATGTCGTAGTAGCCCAAATAGGCTACAGCAGAGTGATAGTTTTGCCTAAAAGCAAAGCACTGATTTTCAGCTGCAGCCTAAAGTTAGGCTACACGGACGCGTACAACAAACCCAGTGTATGTGACCCTATGTGACCAATTTAACAGCCAAAGATAAAATTGTATTATATAGATACATACTTACATAAATGATGTATAAATAATATATTTTATTAATTAATTAATCATACAATATAAATAATATACCAAAATAATTATATAGAAAGCAAACCTTTTTTTAAAAGGATTATATAGATTTGTTTAAAGTTGGTTAAATAGACATTTCTAACAATGACTTAATATTCAATATTGCATGCAACATTCATACGTCAGAAATTTTAAGATGGTAGTCAGAATCGACATACTGCAGTGAACTGATTGTTTAAATCCTTCGTCAGTTCTAAATAAAAATAAATTATATATATAAATATTATTTCCATAGCATTTATACTTTAGTGTTGTGTATTATAATATTTATTCTGTTTTATTTTTAGTGTTGTTATAAAATTAGTGTAGTGTATAAATTGTGTTTAAACATGAATATGTTACTATTACATATTGTAGTTCTTAGTAACATACTAAAATATGGACAAACACAGATTGCCTTAAATGCTCCTATAGTAAGAGAATACCCTTGCAAAGCAAGTCAGAAATTTGACGCAGTATTTGAAGTGGGTTTGCCCAAGGATCAAAATAAATATTACTTAAATATTTATGAGGAATTTCCTGCTCAATCCCGTATCGGAATTAAGTTCGATTCCGAAGCTATAATAACTACATTGGTGAATAAGAAAACACTATTTTATATATTGCTAAGTATAATAATATTATATTATACTTATATTACAATAATAAATATAGTATAAGTATAATATCAGCGGGTAATGTAGTTCAGGAAAGTTGAGTATGACATAAAAAGGAACTTAGCAAAGGAATTTAATTTTTTTTTATGAAATTTAGAATGGCTAACAAGCTGACGGCCCACCTGATGGAAAGTGGTAACCGTCACCTATAGACATGAGCAGTACCATGGACATAACAGAGTATACTGTCTCGCCCATGATACCCACCATTCGTTGTCATATATAAGAATAAACATACTCGTACATTCATGTATAAAAAAATATGTACACATGCACACACGCACACACGCACACACGCACACACGCACACCCGCACACCCGTACTCACGCACACACGCACACACGCACGCACGCACGCACGCACTCACGCACGCACGCACGCACGCACGCACACACACACACACACACACACACACACACACACACACACACATTTTTTTTACATTCTTTTCGTATCAGTGTGTAATGATAAAGTAATAATATATAATATTATAACTAAACGTTATTGATAAGATTTTTTTCATTTCAGTTTGAAAAGCCTTACCTTGGACAGCTTTCAAATAGGGTGAGTAATTCTATATGTTGATAAATGTATATATTTTTTTATATACTGTGAAATCGTGTGAGTGGTCACGTGACATAATAGTGGTAAAAAGTGTGGACTTTTTACCACTATTGTGGCCCAAAATAAGAAATTAATAAGTGTACTATGTCCACAATAATAGCTACTGCATATCTACTATGTATGAGAAATGCAATAAACATTTTAACTTATATTTTATATATCAAAGTATACAATCAATTCTCAGCAGCAGTATTTTTTTATACAACTTAGAATGGCAAACAAGCTGACGGCCCACCTGATGGAAAGTGGTAACCGTCACCTACAGACATGAGCAGTGCCATGGACATAACAGAGTTTCCTCCCACGAACACTCAGGTTATGGAATGAGCTCCCTGTCTTGGTTTTCCCAAGAGCTTACAGCATGGGGTACTTCAAAAGGGGGGTAAAGAGGTTTCTTTAGGGTCAGCAATGCACGCGTAATACCTCTGGTATTGTAGGTGTTCATAGGCTACGGTAACCACTTACCATCAGGTGGGCCATATGTTTGTTTGCCACCTCAGTGGAAAAAAAATACTGTTTCGCTCATAATACTCCCACGCGTTGCCTTCCCTAACGACTCAGGTGTTATTCTCCTGTATCCTGTAAATTCAAATTTCCGAATAGATATAACATTGAAACCTTTAAGAAATGAGCATATTCCTTCCTAAAAAGTTGGTAACATACCTGCAAATTCTCTGATGTTGCAAGTACCTATGGGCGACTATAATTACTTGTCATCAGGTGAGCCGCATGCTCGTTTGCTCCCTATGTTATAAAAAAAATATTTATAGAACAAACCTCACTTTGTTTTAAATATTTTTCAGATCGGTGACACTGCAGCTAGAATAGGAACATTTGCATCGGATTATGAAGTTTTTATAACGATTTCAAATCCAATGTCCGAGATGAGTATTCTTGTTAGAGGACCTGATATAGGAACAGTGCCATATCCTATGTCTATTATTATAAACTCGGTAGAATACTGTGAGAATCCAAATCCAGTAAGTATTACTTACAAGTAGATTTAGTTCCAAAAAAACCGACTTCAATCGTGGCAAACTCAGATGTTTTGTTATAAAATCAAATTACTAAATCAATTTTGACGAAATTTTTATGAGATCTACCTGTAAGTACATCCTTTCAAGTGAAAAAAGAATTTTTCAAATCGGTTTATAATTGACAAAGTTATGAGGTAACAAATATAAAAAAAAATACATTCAAATTTCAAATATTCGACTTTTTGAAGTCGATTGAAAATAAGCTATTTTTTTTATATACCACTGAGGTAGCAAACAAGCATACGGCCCACCTGATTGTAAGTGGTTACCGTAGTCTATCAACACCTGCAATACCAGATTATTACGCGCGCGTTGCCGAACCTGAAGAAACCTCTTCACCCCCCTTTTGAAGAACCCCAAACTGTAGTCTCTTGGGAAAACCTCGGCAGGGAGCTCATTCCATAACCTGAGTGTTCGTGGGACTAGATATCTGCATCCTAATAGTTTTCACACACTGTGAAGACTGATGAGAAATCGGAATCCACGGAACACTTGATGTGCAACTGCGATTCGTTGGCAAGTATGCGTATCAGTCTCTGGGAACGGCTTATCCAGAGCCGGGGGACTACAGATATTTTAAACCGCGGTATATCGTTAAGGTAACACATAGGACCTATGAAATGATGGTAAAAGGCAGGGGAAAGCACAAAAGGTCCTGATGGGTGGCCGTGCAATGGATTAGCTGACCCTATATGCGAAAATAAAATAAAATAAGATCTTAATAGTCTATTATTATTTTAATGGGTGAAAATGGAATAGTAACCCCGTTTGGGCCATGTTTTATATTTATTATCTCATAGCTCCCTCAGTTCTAAACCGATTTGGAAAATCCTTCTTTCATCTGAAAGTATATACTTACAAATTCGTTTAATAGAAATTATATCAAAATCGGTTAACTAATTCAGTTTTTAAATCAAAATATCTAGATTTATCACAATTAAATTAGACTTTTTTGTAGTTTTATATCCTTTAACTGTCATATATAAACCCCTAAAGGTTTGTTGACAGATTCATTGAAGGATACAAAGGATCCGCGATTGCGGCTCTATCAGTACCGTCCAGTTCCTGTGGGAGACGTAAAGTGCAGCATACAGAGCTAATTGTCAATGGCCGACCAACCAAGCCTGGAGACTGGCCATGGCACGGAGCCATTTACAGACTGGAAAAGTCCAATGTGAAATACATTTGTGGTGGAACACTTATATCAAAAAGTTTTGTTATAACAGGTTAGCAATAGTATTGAGCTAGCTCCAGTACTGTACGAATTATCGTCATCATTATATCAGCCATTACTTGTCCACTGCTGGACATAGGCCTCCTCCCTAGACTGTCATAAGGAATGGTCTTGAGTCACCTGCATCCACTGACTCCCTGAAATTTATTGGTTAAATTTATGAAAAAGTGTAAACACGTTATTATTATAGAGCAAACTAAAACGCAATGCATTTCAGGTTGTCACTCCATACTGCATATTAGCATACACAGTACGGAGTACGGAGTCGACAATCAAGACCCTTTCTTTTGTCGGGTTTTCGACCTATGTGACCAGGCCATTGCCACTTCAGCTTGTTTATCATTCAGGCTATTTCGGTCACTTTGGTCCTTTTGCGGATATCTTCATTTTGGATTCTGTCACGCAAAGAAACTCTATAGGTCTTTTAGTAATTTGGCATACGTATAGGATCATATTTCGGGTCATCACTGGCAACACACACTCTATGTACACAGTATGTTAATTAACGTACGTACGTACGTATTTCCTTTCCCGTGGGTGTTGTAATAGGCGACTAAGGGAACTTAATAGCTCGACCATTACAATGGCAGCAGCGTCCCTTTTAAAAAATCAAAGACTAACGACTATTGATTACCAGTTTGCCTAGCGTGGCAATTACTGGCAACACCTCCCAATACGAGAGGCCTATGGGCTCAAAAGGACTTGTATCCAGAGCCGTAAAACATATTAATGAAAAAAAAAGAGAGGCCTATATTCAGCAGTGGACAGTTTGCTGATATGATGCTGATTGTACATTTACCAATTTTTAAAAGTAATATTTTCCACGTTTTAAATTCAAATATTTTTAAATTTAATGATTTTTTTTTTAGTATTAAATTTGGGTGGCAATCTAACTATATTTTATTATTACAATGAGATAAATAAATCTGTAATTGTACTCTGAGATTTAACAACCATATCCCATCTGTTCTAGAAGATTTTTCATTTAAAATGTACTTGGTAATAGAATATCATTTACTAGATTGCATCTCATTATTGAATTGGATTGAATTTTGAAGCAATTTCAATTCATACAAAATTCTGTTTTAATTTAAATAGTTGAATTCGTTTAAAACATTTCAGCTGCACATTGTTCGACAATCAATGGCGGGCCTGTGTTGCCAGAGATAATGAGCGTCATTTTTGGAAAGTACAATTTGATTGGTGGCGATATTGCAATACAAGAGCGAGAGGTGAATTTGGTTAATGCAACTTTGTATTAAAATTAAATTTATGTCATGATGTAACGCACACATTGGCTTTTTAAATTTTATTTCATTCTAATACCAAAAGATGTTATTTTTTTTTTTTCATTTGTCTATGGAACAGGTTAGCTTTTTTTGTTTATCATGCGTCCTTTTGACCAATGTCGAGCGCGTTCTTTTTTTAAATGTTTTAAATAATGTTTACAGTTGAATCAATAAGGTTAGAATCAAACATACATACATACATACCTGTCACGCCTGTCTCCCATTAGGGTAGGCAGAAACAATGGAACGCCAAATGCTTCGATTCAAACAAACCTCTTTCGCTTCTTCCACATTCATTTATCTTTTTATACACGCTCGCCGGTTACGGGTACTTTTAATTTGGCCCTTCTTCAGCACGTCGCCTATTTGGTCAACATACGTCCGTCTAGGGCGGCCCCTACCGACATCTCCATTCATATACAACATAATACACTAAATCTCGCCTCGTCGCCTAAGTTGAAGCAAGATAAATTTATCTCTTGAGTTATATTAAATAGAAATTTAATCTATACTAATATATAATGGAAAAAAGTTTGTTTGCACTAATTTTGCTATTGACTGCTGTTAGTCGAATTTGAAAAATTCATTTTGCTTTTAATAGTTAATTTCTTGTGAAAGGTTATTCAATAACATGATATGTGTTTGCATGGCTGTGTTTCGGTTTGAATGGTGGGATATGGCAGTGAATTTACAGGGTACAGAGGAATAACACCCGAGTCCTCAGAAATGGCAACGCATGGGGGGTATCGTGGGCGAAACAGTATACTCTGTTATGTCTATGGTACTGTTCATGTCTATAGGCGACGTTCACCACTTTCCATCACGTGGGCCGTTGGCTTGTTTGCCATTCTAAGTTGCATAAAAACAAATCAAGGAAAGAAATAACAAAAATTGTGACAAAACCATTTAATATGGTTTTAAAACTTAACAGAACAGATTTTGATAAAATTTCGATGAGACTAGTCTAGTCTATCTAATCGGTATTTATTTTTTTATTTTATTTATTCATTAGTACGAATATGTGTAGGTACACGGCGGACTTAATGCTAAAAGCATTCTCTCCCAGTCAACCATAGGGAAGTGTCAGAATACACGAATGCGGTACTAGTATATATTGATATACATACATACTAAAATTACATATATAAACGAATAAATATATATGAATAACAAATATACTTACACATATATGACATATACTATATTATACACGAAATTGAGAATAATATAAAGTACTTGCTGTATTATAAGTATTATTCTTTTAAATAAAAATATGGGAAATTGGACTTTGAATCAATAAAACAACCTCTCCAATATTATTTTATATTGGTCTTCTCTACTGTGCTACTAGGAAGTCAATGCAAGTCTGCTCTCTAGCTCATAGAAGTATCGCTCGATAAGTAGTGGGGCGGTGACGTAGGAAAGTGAAAGTTAAATACATGAGTCATTCAATATCGGTCTTTAGTCAAATGAGACATTAATTATTGCACATTAATTTAAACAATATCAACAAAAAAAATCCAGATCGGTTTATAACTGATAGAGTTATGAGGTAAAATACATAAAAAAAAAATATAACCGAATTGATTCAGAACGTTCTTTTTTTTGAAGTCGATTGAAAGTTCAAGTCAATATCCAAACAATACAATTATTAATAACGTTAATGAATTTACTATTATTTTGTTTCAAATTATGAAAATTTTAATATCCATTATATTATTGAAATTTGATAATACTTTTACATCGTTAAATATTTAACACAAATTAAATTAATTTTAATATTTATTTACTCTTAATTGTTAATGGATCTTTAGTGATTGTGAATTCAAGTACTTTTATAGTCATAAAAGGGATGTCTGGAAAATAGGATTTAAATAATTAAGCATACCTATTTTGTCTATTTCTATCTATCTATCTATTTAAGAGCTGCGCTCTTGTCGGTGGAGTTCTTGCCACTCACTACGATTTTCAGCGAGTCTCTTCACCTCTTGATACGACATGACACCAACTCCTTCTTGATCTGCCTGATGTAACTATGTCTCGGTCTCCCTCTCCCCCTCCTTCCTTCTATCTTACCTTCTATTATAATGTTCATAAGTTCGTCGTGTCGTATCAAGTGTCCCAACGTTTTTCCCCTTCTGTCCTCAATAGTTCTAATAATTTGTCTTTTCTCCTTAACCCTAAGCAGGACCTCCTCATTGCTAATTCGATCCCTCCAGCTAACTTTCTCCATCCTTCTCCAGCACCACATTTCAAAAGCTCTAAGTTTATCCATTTCCTTCTGAGTTAATGTCCACGTCTCACATCGATACAGAGCTATACTCCAGATATAGGTTTTGATAAGCCGCTTTCTAATATCTTTTGTTATGTTAGTCTGTAAAAGGTGTTTTTTGTTATTGAAGGCTTATTTGGCCATGGCTATTCTCGTGACTACATCCGGAGTACATCTGGAATCAAATCTGTCTATTTATACAAATGTATTATTTTAGTATTTATTAAAAACTAGCTATCCGGCCCGGCTTCGCACGGATGAATGAAAAAATGAAAAAATTGACACATTTATATAATTGCCAGTGCATTTTGCTCCACTAACAAACTGATTGTTTATTTTTATACAACTTAGAATGGCAAACAAGCTAACGGCCCACCTGATGGAAAGTGGTAACCGTCGCCTATAGACATGAGCAGTATCATGGACATAACAGAGTATACTGTTTCGCCCATGATACCTCATGCGTTGCCATTCCTGAGGACTAATGTGTTATTCCTTTGTACCCTGTAAATTCACTGCCGTATCCCATCCTTCAAACCGAAAAACACAGCCATGCAAACACAACTGCTTCACGGTAGAAACACGAATAGGACAGAGGTGCCCAAGCAAACGACTTTTGTACAAAGTCTCCCTCTGGTAAAAAAGATGTCGCTGAATATTACCTATTCCTAATACTGTTTAAATAAAACATAATAAAACCCTTTTAACAGATATATCAAAACATAGTGCATGAAGATTATAATCCAAAAAGATTGGACAATGACATCGCACTGTTAAAAATGAAGACTGAAGTAAAGTTTGATGATTATGTGCAGCCAGCTTGCTTATGGCATTTAAATGCTTATAAAAAGGTACCAAAAGGAACCATTAAAGGAACAGTGAGTATTCTTTTTTTTTATTTACCAGTTTCCTTTTTTCGGGGCAACTAATTCGTGTACTCTCTTTCAGCAAGCGGAAGGCTATTTCCAGGCTATATCCATGTCCATGTTCATGGCCATGTCCATGGTACTGCTTATGTCTATAGGCGACGGTTACCACTTTCCATCAGGTGGACCGTCAGCTTGTTTGCCATTCTAAGTTGTATATATATATATATATATATATATATATATATATATATATATATATATGTGTGTGTATAAAAAAATATATATATATATATTTTTCAACTTTCTATCTCTCGGCTTGACAGCTTGTGTTTCCTTTATCTGTCCCATGTAGTTATTTTTCCGTCTTCCCTTTCTTCTTCAGTCCTCTATCTTTCCTTCTAGTAAACTAAAATTATAATTTAATCATATTTAATTTAATAAATTCATCATATTGTACAAGTTTTTTTTTATACAACTTAGAATGGTAAACAAGCTGACGGCCCACCTGTTGGAAAGTGGTAACCGTCGCCTATAAACATAAGCAGTACCATGGACATAACAGAGTTGTCCCAGTATTTTGCCTCTTCTATTCTATATTGTTTTAGTGAGATTAACAAATGGTGATTTATTTTTTATATATATAGATTTATGACCAGAGAAGGATTTTGTATAAAAATCGTCTGGGCGTCGTCTTTTTTTTTATACAGGTAACACAGCGGGCAAACGAGCATGTGAATCACTTGATGCTAAGTGACTACCGCCGCCCATGGTCACCCACAACACCAGAGGTATTGTAAGTGTGCTACCGGCCTTTTAAAAAGGAATATGCTCTTTTATTGAAGGCAATGATGTTGTTTCGGTTCAGAAATACTGCTGCTGGAATTTGATTTCAAATAGTGGTTGTGCATAGAAGAAAGTAAAGGGAAAACGCACCTTAGAGGACACTCTGTCTCACTCTTGTTTCTGCCGTGAAGCAGCTGTACTAGTGTTTCGGTTTGCAGGAATCACCCATGGCAGTTAAATTTCAGTGTATTTCATTATTATTTCAGCCGCTAACTGTCCACTGCTGAACATTAGTCTTCCCCATAAGAGGAACATAGGCCTCCTCCTGAGGGAGTTTTGCCACTAGTTGCCACGCTTGGCAGGCGGGTTGGCAACCGCAGTTAGACTTTTACAGATGTTTTAAGAGGGACGCTGCTGCCCATCCCTCCACCATATGCTCCCTTATTCGCCTCATACGACACCCACGGGAAAGGAAGGGGTGGTTCATTCTATGCCGGAACCTACATGGCTAAATCACAGAGTATAGAAGCATTATATTATAGTCCAGAGGAATGGGATAGCATAAGGCGTACCATTGACATTATCAACAGAGTATTTGTTGTTATATCCATGTTACTTTTTATGTATTTATACGACGGTTGCCACTTTCCATCAGGTAGCTATCAGCTTGTTTGACTAATAAATATTGTATAATTTAAGACTGTGTTCCATATAAAAAGGCCCCAGTTTTTTTCTTTAGAAACAAACCAACAAAACCGATGTTGTAATATTTCCATAGAACTAATCTAAAAGTACATCTTTTCAAATAAATGAATAATTTTCCAAATTGGTTCATTAATGACAAATAAAAAAAAAATGTACAATCGAATTTAGAACCTGCTTCCTTTTTTGAAGTAACTTGAAAATAATATCACATTATTTTTGTCAAACAACTATCGTTATTTTAAATAGTCGATTATCATGTTTTATTTTCAGGTAGTTGGATGGGGGTTCAATCACAACGATACACTGGCAACCACCCTTCATCAGGTGGTTCTACCGAAAATATTGGACAGCGTTTGCGTCAAAAGTAACATAGACTTTTTTGGAAAAATATTGAATGATAGAAAATTTTGCGCAGGATACAGAAATGGTATGATTTTGTATGGACGAAAATCGATATTAATAATTAAGGGGCTAATGATTAGGTTAAAAGTAACCATTGTTTCTTGCAATGAATAATAGTCAATGAGCTGACTATAAAATGTTCCAGGTACCTCAGCATGCAACGGAGATAGTGGCGGAGCTTATCAAGTATTTGTCCCCGATACACCTGGTGATACATCAGTCAACGCGTCTGGCTCTTGGCATGTCCACGGCATAGTATCACTGGCTTTGTCGCGACCCAACGAAGCTATATGCGATAACACACAATACTCAATATTTACTGATATCAATTCGTTTGCTGGATGGATTTATAAACATTTTAAACCTGATTACTAATGTTATCGATGTATATAAATAAAACAAATTTATCACAATGCTTTTGTATTATTGCCAGTGCACTTTGCTCCACTAACAAACAGATTGTTTTTATTTTTTTATGCAACTTAGAACGGTAAACAAGCTAACGGCCCTCCCGATGAAAAGTGGTAACCGTCGCCTACAGACATGAGCGGTACCATGGATGTAACAGAGTATACTGTACTTATTCATTAAAACTAAAATGTTCTACAAAGCTATTTTAAATATTAGAGTATTATGTCATTATGTTTGAATTTGTTTTATACCACAATGATGGCAAACAAGCATACAGCCCGTCTGATGGTAAACGGTCACTGTAGCCTATGGACGCGTGTAATAATAGGGGTGTCACGTGCGCGTTGCCGACTCTGAAGAAACATAAATATACCCTTTTTTAAAAATCATATACTGTAGTCTCTAGGGAAAACCTCGGCAGGATATTTTCCTTAGCGAAAATTGACAACTAATTTTTGACAACTAATTATATTGAAAATTGAATGACAAATTATCGCAAAAAACAAAGCTAAAAGAAATCTTTAAGATATTTGTCATTTTTATGAATAAGATTATATAGATATATCAATAAGATATATCGAGAGTCAAAAATAGGTCAAAATTTTGTCAACTAAATGCCACTTAGACGCATATTTTAATTAAATAACAACGATACAGGCAATTTTATCAATGTTCCAAGTAATTGGTTTAAAAATTTTACAGATTTGATTGTTTATTTAAATTAGATTTTTCTGTTTTTTTTTTCTGTACGTATTGTTTACAATTTAATATACATTAATTATAATAACAACTATTTTCAATTAATCATAAACAAAATTATATTTTAATCTATGTTCAGAAATAAATCTTTTAGTTTAATTAATTGAAAACGGGTAATTTAATTAATGATACTTAAGAATATTTAATTAACAAGAAAACAACTTTATTATTGCTTAAATCTCTTTAAAATTCGATTAATTATAACCAGTTTCAAAATAGAAAAATACATGTATATGTTCAAATATTAATAATAAATAAAATTGACATTGATGCTCCTTTCCACTTTGGGTGTTGCTGGAGGAGAACTCTTTTAGAGTTAAGCTCGCCTTTGTACATTTGATTACCTCTGTCATATCCTTATAACAGGTGTGTACAATAAAGAATTAAATAAAAAAATACATACAATAAAAAAAGACCAATTTCAGTTCCAGATATAGTTTATTTTATAGCCCATATTACTCGCTGATGAGGTACCTTTTTATACGTGAAAGAGTTTTTAATATCGGTTTAGTATTTTGGTGTTTATTCATTACAATAAAAAAAAAAAAGTTTAAGAGAAATTAATGGTCGAGGAAAAGGCAGCAGTGTCTCTCTTAAAATATCTCTAAAAGCCTAACTGCAGTTGCCAAGTGTCTTAACGTGGCAACTAATTGCTAAACCCCCCAATAGGGGGAGGTTTATGTTCAGCAGTGGACAGTTAACGGCTGGTATGATAATATGATAACTACCATATATTTTTGTATATATATATATATATATATATATATATATATATATATATATATATATATATATATATATATATATATATATATATATATATATATATATATATTTTTTTTTTTTTTTTTTTCTGAATGTGTTTGCTGTTGGCCGTGTGTGGCCTTTACAGCTTCACCGGACGCGAATGCAGGGGCGAGTGCTGATGGCACTCCAAGCCCGCGAGAGGGGAGCGACAGAGGTGTCGACTCTTTCTTATGGACTGCGGTGTGTGTGTAACACTTCGACCCCCGTCGAGGGACGGCGAAGGGTCGGTACGTCTGGGTGGGTGAGATTGCGACGCGGTTGTTATGCGCTCGGGCGCAAACCTGATCGCGCGCGGACCGTGTAGGGTTCTTCGCCCCCGCCGGCGGGGGCGGTGTGTGCGATGTGTGGGTGTGTTTGTAGGGGCTCTTGTCGAGGGTTCCGCGGTAGGTAGGGAGGGAGACGCGTTTGCCGTCGTAGTTGGATCATCGGGGTCCAAGAGTGCGTGCCTCGGGCGACGACGTTTTGGAGCGACGTTCTCTATGGGGGGTTTGTATTTGACCGCTCTTACTATGAGCGGATTTGAATGGGACTCGGCTGAGGCGAAGTAGCGTCGAGACGCTTGCTTCATAAATTGCCTTATAGTGGGTATTTTGAGGTCGCGGTGTAGATCCACGTTGCGCACGTACCACGGGGCGCCCGTGGCCCGTCGCAGAAATTTATTTTGCACCACCTGAAGGGGGTGAAGTAATGAAGGAAGGGCGTGGGCGAAGACGACACTAGCGTACGTCATCACCGGTCTTATACATGCTTTATAGAGCGTCAGCTTTGCGTTAAGCGACAATTGGCTGCGCTTGTTAATAAAGGGATGGAGGCGTCCCAGTATAAAATTGGCCAGGCCTCGGACGCGCTTAAGATGAGATGCGAAACTCAACTTGGAATCTAGTGTCACGCCTAGGTATTTGGCTTCGTTCGTCCAGGGGACGGGCGTGCCAAACAGCTGAATAGAGGCGGGAAGGGATGGTTTTCTTTTGGCCGTGAAAAGCACGGCGGCGCTTTTATCTGGGTTGACTTCGATGCGCCATTTTCTGAACCAGTAGGCCAGCTCGTCCACCGCCCGTTGAAGCCTGTTGGCTGCACAGGCGGCCGACGTGCTGTCCACATATAGGGCTGTATCATCAGCAAAGAGGGCGATTTGCACTCGGGGCTGACGCGGGATGTCGTTGGTGTACAACGAGAAGAGGGTGGGGGAGAGGACAGCGCCTTGAGGGACGCCGGCTCTAATCGGTCGTGCGCTGGAACGCACTCCATTGACGCGATAGCGATATGACCTATTGGACAAGAAGGCTCGTATGATGTGCACGAGCCTGTCTGGCACTCCCATCTTGTGCAGTTTGAAAATCAAGCCGCTGTGCCAGACTTTGTCAAAGGCCTTCGCTACGTCGAGAAACAGGGCACATGTGACCCCGTTGGATTTCAGGTGTCGGGCGTTGAGGACGTGTTCTACTACACGATGTACTTGATGAACAGCTGAGTGCTTGGCTCTAAAGCCGAACTGCTCATCGATCAGGATGCCTTTGGACTGTAGCCAGTCTTTCAGGCGTGCGAGTATTAGCTTCTCATACAGCTTCCCCAGCGAGCTGAGGAGACTGATGGGGCGAAAACTGGTGGGAAGGGACTTATCTTTCCCAGGTTTGGGAAAGCCTACGACATCGGCTTCTTTCCAAGCATCTGGAAAGATGGCATTGGTAATTGCCGCATTGAAAATCGCTACTAGAAGTAGCAGAATGGTTTCTGGCAGACTCTTAAGGAGTCTGTTAGAGATACCGTCGGCACCGGGTGCCTTTCGGTTGGGGGTTCCTTTGATGAGTGTTCGCACCTCATCCAGTGTAACGGGGGGGAGTGACTCTACTGGAGGGATCGACAGGATTCGCTCCACCTCGGATTCTACCTTCTCTAGATGATCATCGGGCACCGGAAGGGTGCTCGGCATGCATTGGGCCTCTAGGCTGTCTGCTAGGCATTCAGCCTTTTCTTCATCAAATAAGGCCGGACTGTTGTTTGTTCGGACTAAGGGCGGAAGGTCGGAGTAACACTGGTCTGTTTTGAGGGTTTTGGCTACTCGCCAGTACGCGGTATGGCAGGGGGTGAGTTCTTTGGTGAACTTATCCCATCTGTCTCGCCGAAGTTCCGCTATGCGACTCTTTACTTCGCGCTGTAAAGCTCGCAGGCGGGTTCGGTTCTCTTCTGAGGGATAGCGGTCATACGCTCGTGTGGCTGCATTCTTAGTGCGCAGCAGAGCCCTTACATCATCAGGCAGGTTCCATCTACGGTCGCCCGTATCCGGAACCTCCCTGGAGCAGTCCTTGACTGCCGACTGCAGGTGCTCTGTTAGCGCGTCAATGGCTGTAGTCGTCTCCTCGATAGATTCGACTACGTCCGGGATGCGGTCCAGTACCGGAGAGTTAGTCGACTCGAGGACTTTCTCGAGCCGGCTCCAGTCCGTGACCGTTTTAAATTGAGGCGCCCCGTCTGCAGGTGGGCCTAGCGAGAATGTGACGGGGCGGTGGTCGGAGATGAGTTCGGCATGGACCTCCATAGAACTCAGCCTTAAGGCTACGTTCTTTAGTAGGGCCATGTCGAGGATGGAGGGCTGATGAGCAGTGTTTGCCGGATAGTGCGTGAAGTGCACTGGGGGAAGGATGTCGAAACCCATGGAGAGCAGGCGTTCCAGGGTGAGACCGTTTGGGTTCGGATAAGCACAGCTCCAAAGGCTGTGCTTGCAATTTAGATCTCCGGCAATAATTACCGAATCCCCCAGGTCCATGAGAGCTTGGAGGTCGGCCCGGAGTAGCTTTTTGGAGGGAGAGAGATATGCCGATGCTATATAGATCGGTCGGTGGTCTGTCATCGCGAGGAGGCATATCGAGGCTTCCATGTTTACGAGCGGAGGCGTGTCGATCGGAATGCACTGAAGGGACCTTCGGTAATAAATTAACGTACCGCCGCCGCGACTGATGAGGTCATTGCGTACGATATTGTAGTTTGCGATTCTTGGACCGCGTGTTGAAGGCTTGAGGAAGGTCTCCTGTAGTAGGAGAACGTCCACCTGATGGACGGTGAGAAACTCACGGACTTCGTCTCTTTGCCCTTGTAGTCCGTTAGCGTTGAAAAACGCTAACTTAACGGACCGAGGTTTGCATCTTTTCGCCCTTAGATCCATAATTAATTGTTAAAATTGAGGATGGCGACTAGTACGCCGATGTGCTCGCAGACGGCTGCGAGTCTTTCTTGTGGGTCGTTTTTTTTCTCGCCAGCGTCGATGGAGCTGGCGAGTTTGCTACCAGTGCGAAGTCGGCTGCGAAGCTTGAGCCTACGTTCGTTCCAGTTTGCGGGGCGGGGCGCGGAGGAGCGGGCGATGCCACAATCTTGGCAAGCGTGGGAGCGGTTGCAGATGGCATGGTGGGTGAGGGGGTCGCCTTGACGACCGGAGGTCGCACCCAAGCATTTTTTGGCGGGGGAGGTGGTGCAGCTGAGGGCTGCGGGATAGTAGGGGGCGCGGGGCGTGCTTTGAGCCTTTGTGGCTTTTGCGGAGGCCTTGTTTTGGCCGGGACGGGGAGCGCGGGGACATCCGCGGTAGTTAGCTGTGTGGCCCTGTGTGCCACAGAACACAGCTAGGTGGGGTTGCCACTCACGCGAGTATTGCTTGGTGCCGTGGTCTCCCAGGCACTTGACGCAATCGCGCGCGTAGCAGTTTTGCCCATAATTTTGGCAGCGGTGGCACTGCCCGGGGTAGGTCCGCTTATTTGGCGGTTAACTGATAGGCCTGAGATCAGGCAGACACTTCGGATGTTGAAGATAGATTTCCCCTCTGGGGAGAGATCTAGTACCACTAGTACCATGTCTAGTGGCGTTTTGGCCCTGCTGCGGTACATCCTGTGTACCTCGTGGACGGGGTAGTTTTGAGAGCGGATATCTGCGAGGATGTCCTGGCAGTCCAGCTCCTTAGGGACGCCGCGTATTACTACGCGCAGTCGTTTCTCCTCCTCGAGGGCATAATTAACCCACACTGTTTGTCCTGAGGAAGGAAGTTAACGGGCGATGATCCGCCGATGTGGGAACCACTACTCTGATTCCTAGTGAGGTTACCCTTGCATGGGTAAAGGATAAGCGCAGCTGACACCCTGTTCCAGGCTGTCTTGTCCTGGATGATTATAGGAGGAGGAGGCCTCACTTTCCCCGCGTGATCGCGGTCGGTTTTATCGGCGTTAGCCGGAACGGGTGCGCCATCGTTGGCACGTTGGGTTTTTGGCGGGGGAAGATCGCGCGCCCGCTTCGCGCGTTTGGTGCGCTTGGCACCCACAATTTGAAATTCCTCTTCCGAGGAGGAGGCAGTGTCGGAGGAGTCGCCTGTTTCAGCGACGACGTTGGGAGCGTCTAGCTCCATTTCCGTTTCAGAGGAGGGGCGGTTGGGAGCAACCTCCTGAGGGGACATCGGCTCCGGGGTACTCACTAGGTGGTCCCCGGGGGAAGGTGGGTTTGAGGACAGCTCGTCGTTGGCCTCCTGAAGGGAGGCCGCCGGCGAGGCAGGGGCGTCGTCATGTATCACATGTGCGCCCCTGCGCTCATCGAAAAATGCCTTTAAGAGGCCAGGACATTTGGCCTTTAAAAAGGCCACGAATTGTGGAATGTCATCCTGGGACAGCGATATGTTGTCCCAGGAAACACTCCTCTTATAAATTAGCAATGCACCCGACTCTTAAGTCGGGTGCCAATACCTAAAAATAATTTAAATTTATAATACGGACAATGCGCTACTATAAAAGTGGACACAAAAAATAAGCCGCTACAAGCCGCGTATATAAGGGCCTGTTGGGACCTGTCCAGGTATGAGTCGCCCTTTATACAAGGATTAGTCACCGGCCGGGCGACGGTTACCCGGCCGCTTTGTGTACAGTTAACCGCCCCGCCGAGTACGGCGGGGGGGTGTGTGCCTATTGTTAATGTAACAATGGAATGTAGTCACCGGAGTGACTTGTGTACCTGTTGCCGATACTTGGCCGGGGTGTCGAAGGCGGCGCGGGTCGCCGGGAAGGAGAGTGCTGGTCTCTGGCACCGGCTCCGGAGCTGGTGCGCTGCGCTTATGGCGCAGTACACCACCCTAACACTTGTTAGTCCGATGCACTAGAGTTCACAACACTACACAATTGTCACTTGTAACTGTTCACATGCACTCACTGCACTCGCGACGCGACAGGTGGCAGCGCGTGCCGTGTACGCGAACGGACGGCCGTTAAAAAGCGCGCGAAACTAAGGCGACGAACGAGAACCTCGTGCCCAAGTTGTTCTCTACTTTTCTTCGTGTCCGACGTGTTTGCGTATCCGCTGACTCCGTGCAACAAGGCAGCGCTACACAACGGAGTATTGATGCCAGTAGTGACGCGTGCGTCACCAAAGGCTATCGAATGAGCAATGTATATATATATATATATATATATATATATATATATATATATATATATATATATATATATATATATATATATATACATATATATATATATATATATATATATATATATATATATATATATATATATATATATATATATGTATGTATGTTTGTATGTATTTATTTAAAATGTGCGCTAATTTCTTTTTTATCTTATATACAATTTTTATACACTACATTACTTGCTAATCGTTTTTACTCTCACTGCATTGGGTTGGCTGGAAGAGATCTCTTCTCTTAGAGATAAATCCTCCCTTGCTAACAAGTTGTTAAACTAATCGCTGTATCTTTTTTCACAAATAATAATAATAATAATAATAAATCTCTTTATTTTCAGGTATATACCCATAGTTAACATTTTTATATTATTAATTAAATAAATTGTTATTATTATTTTGCAATATTTAATGCAATAATGAATATATATATATATAGATAGATAGACAGATAGATGGATATTCATTCATTAATTCATTCATTCGATTATATTTTATTGACCACATTACAAAAAATGTCTGGTACAAAAGGCGGACTTAATACTATATAGCATACTCTCGCAATCAACCTTTGGCAAAACAGAAATTTAATTATGCGGTGAAAAAATTGAAAATTGTTGCAGATAAACTATTACATGTACGTATCTATATATTTACAAATCAAAACATACAATGGAGAACTACTGCACATTATGATTATATAAATATACATACATACATATAAAATACATAAAACACCACGAACAATACATACACTACTAAGAATACATTAAACAAATATTGCATAAATATACATACATACTTATAAATTGACGTCAGGCAGGCGGCCGGTCGTAAAACTAAAAAAAACAAATCTTTTTGTGATACGGATATATATATATATATATAGGAAGATATATATATTATATATATATATATACCCTTTATATATATATCCCTTTATATATATATATATATATATATATTTATACAGCTTAGAATGGCAAACAAGCTGTAAAAGTGATAACCGTCGCCTATAGACATGAGCAGTACCATGGACATAACAGAGTATACTGTTTCGCCCATGATACCCCCCATGCTTTGCCATTCCTGAGGACTCAGGTGTTATGCCTCTGTACCCTGTAAATTCACGCCATATCCCACCCTTCAAACCGAAACACAGCCATGCAAACACAACTGCTTCAAGGTTGAAACACGAATGGTATCAGTTAAGAGAGCTTTACAGTTTCCCAATAAGCTTACTTAGGAAAGCATCACTACAGTAATACATACGTATAATTAAATATTTTCATATTAATTACATTTAAATCTTGTCAGCTCTTGCCAACAATAATGATAATATATAAAATATTATAACAAGTATCAAGTGTCCGTATTTTCCCCTTCTGTTCTCAATATCTAATAATTTGTCTTTTTTCCTTCTAAGCAGGACCTCCTCATTGCTAATTTAAATTACATAACAATATTATGATATGAAAAATAATGCAATAAACAGTTGTATCAATAACTGAGTTGTACTTGTAGATATATACATACAAGACAGGATTTACCTCTTTGACCGGTTTTCCTTGTTGATGCAATGTCGCAGTCAAATGTATGCAGTGGATTCTTTGTCAAATAACTAACATTTTTTTTTTATTTAAGCCTTTTTCATAAGTGGAGTTTTACCAGTCATTGCCACGCTTGACAGGCAGATTGGCAACCGCAGCCAGACCCTGCAGATGTTTCAAGAGAGACGCTGTTGCTCATCCTTCGTCCTCCCTTAGTTACCTCTTACAACACCTACGAAAAAGGAAGGAGTATAACCTATTCTATGGCGGGTCTACACGGCCATATAATGTAGTGTGTTGTGATAAATAAAGTGCATAACAGACATTTACAAAATTGCTTATATTTTAGACATTACATGTAACATTTATGCATGAGATGTTTTTAATTTGTAGTCAGTCTTAATACACTGAAGTAAACAGACCAGTGATCGACCCATTAGTTTTTTAAAAAAATATGAACAAAATATTTTTTATAATATAATTTAATATACATTTAAAATAATGAATTCACAATTACATTTAAAAATTAAATTATTATTTATCATTGTTATAAATATACTAAAATACGTAGAGGCATCTAATTTGACAAGCGGATGGGGCATAGTCGGGAATCCCATAGCAAGGGCATACCCTTGCAAAGGCAATCAAGTTCTGGAAGCAATTTTCGAACCAGGATTGAGCCCTGATGAAGAAAATAAATACGAATTGGCCATTTATGAGAAGTTTCCTGCACATTCTCGTGTTACAATTAAGTTTGATTCTGAAGCAACAGTGACATTGGTGAGTAATTTTTTATACCACGAATGTGGCAAACAGACATAGACCACCAGAGGGCGACTTTGTACAATGGCAAACAAGCTGACGGCCTACCTAATGGAAACTGGTAAACCATATAATGGAAACTGGTAAACCATATAATGGAAACTGGTAAACCATATAATGGAAACTGGTCGCCTGTAAATATGAGCAGTACCATGGACATAACAGAGTATACTGTTTCGCCCATGATACCCTCCATGCGTTGTCGTTCCTGAGAACTCAGGTGTTATACCTCTGTACCATGTAAATTCATTGCCATATCCCATCCTTCAAACCGAAATACAGCCATGCAAACACAATTGATTCACAGCAGAAATACGAATGGGACAGAGGTGTTAAAGCAAACGACTTTTGTACAAAATCTCCTGTCTCGCTTTACTTCTGCAACAGTTTGTTTAAAGACTGCTTATTAAATTCTTAAAAGAAGCTATATGTAATTAATTATTTTTATTTATTAAATGATATACACGGTGAAATGAAATAAAAAAAATATATATATTGGAAATGTGACAAATAATTATGAAACAAGTTCTTTTTTTAATGGTAAAACACTTTGATGTTTTCGTTTAAATAAATGTTCACATTTGTACAAATTCGTTTTGTGATCTTGTTGATATCAAAAAATGTAGTCTTTTAACAATGATATACTGTGTCGCTCCCTGACGGTCGTCGATTCGATATCCGTACAATACAACATTTGTATTCATGACTATTTCTGTTTGTATTCACATCTTGTGCTTATTTGTAGTCCGGGTGCTGTCTGCGTTTATATTTATATTAAGTAGTAGGCCGTCTGCTTATAGTCTGTTTCTAGTAGAATTAACAAGATTTTGTTTTGCAAAAAATATAATAATATCAATTTAAACATAATAAATATTATCTAATTTTATATTATAAAGGGAACAGATTCGATTTTTTTTTTGTTTACAATGAATAAACTCAAAAAATAATTAAGCATAATTACTTAATAAAAATTCTTGCAATTGTAACATAAACATAGCAATAGAGCTACATACATAAAGGAATGACATGGGCTACAGTTTATTTCAAAATAATGTAAGATAGTGTTCCAAAAAGAAAGAATATATTATATAAACTAGCTTTTACACGCGACTTCGTCCGCGTGACTAGGATACACATACTAGTCACTGATCACCATAAAAAGTAGTCTATAAGTTTCTCCATATATTCTTAATACCTTAACCAATACTACATGAGGTGAAGTAGGACATAGGATTCTTTTTATCTCTGTCTGTAAATATATCCTATTTATGCAGACGAAGTCACGGGGAAAAGTTTATTAGAAATAAAAACAGGATACAAAATAAAAATTAAGTGAATTGAAAATCCTCCTCTTATGAAAGTCACTTAAAAATAAATAGTACTTATTAAGGAAAATGCGTCGTAAAATTTTACATTATTAGCCGTAATTTCCATAGCCGTGCAAGCGCCACGTGTAAAGGACTTTAGCAGATATACGTAGAGCGAAATTATTGCATATAATTATACCAGACCGGCTTCTAACAAGTGTACTTCGGTAGAACTGTCTTCTATCTACAATGTAGATAGATAGATACTCTTTATTGTTTCCTCCAAAAGATTACAATATTATACTTATTCTAAATATAAACAATTACAAGAAATAATCACAATAAAAAAACAATGGGCAACTTTATCGCTAAAGGCGATCTCTTCCAGGCAACCTTTGGATGGAGAGGAGTAATTATAAACAGTTTGATCGGAGGCACGATGAAATTCATTAATTTCATGATGTTTTGTTTTTATGTAAACGACGTGATACACGTAATAAACGATATATACAATCTATCTATATGTATATAAAAATTAATGCCATTTTTCGTTGTAATTTTATAACTCAAGAACGGGCTCACCTACCCAAACTAAATGCTTAGGTTTTGTTCGGACTATTTAGTAGATGGTTTATGTGAAGTTTGCACAAAATCGCTCGAGCGGTTCTTCATTTATCACATTTTTTGTAACAAATGAATTCAATAAATAGCGGATTATTTTGTTAATGGGGATTTTATGTGTCAAATTCAAACTTTTTTAAAATGGGGATTGTGCTGTCAATATTACTCATGCCTATTGTTAAGGGGGCAAGAAATAAATAAACCCACTTTCATGTTTATGAAATCAGTAAGAAATTATTTATGTGTTATTTAATTTACAGGCAGATGACACTGTGGCACGAATAAAATCTGACTTATCAGATTTAGAGGTTTCAATAAGATTTTTCAAATCAGCGTCCCGTTTGATTGTCACTGTCAAAGGACCACAGACGGGAACAGTGCCGTATCCTACTTCTATCGACGTAAATACGGTTGAATATTGTAAGGAACCAGATCCAGTAAGTGACCAATACTTGTACATACATATTTGCCATGCCTCCCATTAGGGTAGACATAAACAATACAGCACTAAATGTTTAGATTCAAGCAGACCTCTATCGCTTCCTCCACATTTACCAATCTTTTCATACATTCTCGCCGGTTACGAGTACATTTGTTTTGTCCCTTCTTCAATACGTCGTCTATTTGGTCAACATACGTCCTTCCTAAAGCAGCTTCTGCCTACATCTCCATTAATTTTTGCTCAGTAAATCTCTTTCGTAATTCTTTTCTCATCCATCCTCTCCAAATATTAACAAAATTTGTAATTATTAATCGATAAAAACCTATAATTACTAATTTATTAAAAAATAACTATCAAAATTAATTCAGAATTGGCGATATGCGTAACGTAGACCGCAAAGGAGCTTTCTTTTTGAAATTGATATAGTTGTTAAACTTCGAACTGGCCATCTGTAAACTGTAGAATATTAATGATTTAAAAAAATATAGTGTTGGTCATTGGAAAGCTCAAAGAGTTGGTGTTTTATTTTGTTTACTGATTGCGTTTATAAATAATATATACGCCCTTCGAACCTTCATTACCAATATTTTTAGTGTCTGTTGTGATGTGGTCTCGCCAAAGAATGGGCCACCCCTTTCTTTCCTGTGGGTGTCGTAAGAGACTAAGGGAAAAGAGTCAAGGGATAAGTAGTAACGTCTCTTTTAAAACATCACCAAAAACCTAACAGCGGTAGCTAACCCATTTGCCAAGTATAGGAACTAATGGCAAAACTCCCAAAAGAGGAGGACAATGTTCAGCAACGAACAGATAATGGTGGATATGATGACGATGATGATAGTGTCTGTACTATTATATTACAAAACCACGCAATTTCAGCTTTCTGCTTTGTTTGTTTTAATTGTAATATTGAAACTCTCAGTATTGATCATGGTTTTATTCCTATAAGTAAAAAATTCTAGTCTGTACCTAGGCTTCAATTGAAATTTCATTGTCTTAACTGACTTGTTATAAAAAATGTATGTACACTGGCAAATAAAATTTATTTGCTTTTTTTTTATATTACTTAGAATGGCAAACAAGCTTATGGCCCACCTGATGAAAAGTGGTAACCATCGCCTATAGACATGAGCAGTACCATGGACATAACAGAGTATATTGTTTCGCCCATGATACCCCCCATGCGTTGCCATTCCTTAGGGATTCAGGTGTTATTCCTCTGTACCCAGTAAATTCATGCTTGTATTTTTTATTGTCAGGGATTTCTTGATAATCATCTTCAAGGATATAAAGGAACAGCGCACGTGGCTCTTTCAGTACCTACTGGTTCATGTGGGAGACGTAAAGTGCAGCATACAGAGCTAATTGTCAATGGCCAGCCTACTAAGCCTGGAGACTGGCCCTGGCACGGAGCCATTTACAGACTGGAACAGTCTTCTGTGAAATACGTTTGTGGTGGAACACTTCTGTCAAAAATCTTTGTACTAACTGGTTAGTAAGGACAATGTACATTGTTAAAAAATGTTATATACAAAATTGTCCGAATTTGTATTTCTGTCTCTACTCATCAACTCGTCAGTCACTTAATTGAATAAATGAATGAAAACTCTTAATTTGTTCCCTGCAACGAATGATACCGATTATAAAATTAATAATATATACACAAACGAAATGAATAATTATATATATAAACTTAACTACATGAACGCAAGATAAAAAGGCAACGCTCTTGGACGGATGGACAAACTTATTACTAAATAGCGGTTTCTTCCAGAACTCATTGAACTCCATCTTTGATTTATTAAACCATATGTGATGTGTAGAAAATACTGCCTTAGAGTTTCATCTATTTTTGGGAACAAGATCTTTTTTACGGTAAACAAACTAACGGCTCTCTTGATGCTCATAACTGATCATAACTGCTGTCTACAGTACGACAAACATAATAAAATGCTCTATCACATTTATGGTATCCACCATGCGTTGCCATTCCAAAGAACTAAGGTTTTATCCTTTGTAATTTTACTGGCCTTCAAATAGAATCATAGTTCTACAAGCACAGTTGTATCACGACGACAGCGAAGACTATTTTTAAGCAAATTCCTTGGAGAATTGTGGCAAAGTTAAAAGCTTTGGAATGGGAGATGTTAAGACTTAATTTAATTATGATAGTAAATTTTAGTTCTTGAAATATTTCAGCTGCTCATTGTTCAACAATCAATGGGAAGCCAGTTCTGCCAGAGATATTAAGTGTCATTTTTGGAAAGTATCAGTTGATTGGTGGCGATGTTGCGACGCAGGAGAGAGAGGTAAATATGGTCAAAATATTGCATTCTAATCACAAATGTTAAAACTCTGACCTCTAAAATTGTAGACATTGTTCCCATACAGAATAATCAGTTTGGTATAGGGCTTTATTAAATGACCTCAAAAAAGAATGTGCTTCTCAATTTGGTTATTCACTTTTTATCTCCGTCATTAATGAACCGATTCGGAAATTATTTTTTTTCATCTGAAAGGGAATGCTTTTAGATTAGTTCCTATAGAATTAAAAATAAAATCGGTTGTAGTTTTTAAAAATTAACTAATTTGACCACGATTGAAGTCGATTTTTTTTAGGAAGCCAATTATAAATTATTGTTTTGAGGGGTTTTTTCCTTAAATTTGTTTGCACAATCACGACTTATCAAAAGATCAAAGAAAGTGGTAGGGCCTCCAATTTTTTCCTTTCACCATACCCAGTAAATACATTTTACAATATTGTACTATAATTGTCTCAATAGATACATCAAGTTATAGTGCATGAGGAATATAAACCTAAGAGACTGGATAACGATATCTCGCTGTTGAAAATGAAGACTGAAATAACATACGACGATTATGTTCAGCCAGCTTGTTTATGGAATGTGAACGCTTATAAAAAATTGCCAGTAGGGACTATCATGGGAACTGTAAGTATTTAAATAAAGCTTTTACCGATAGATGGAGTGATAATCTCAAATGTATTGCAGGAAGTTTGTAGATGCAGACTGCAGGTGATATAGGATCGTTGTTTGTAATAGTGGGCAATTGGAAGCTAATATGATGATCACTACAAATGTACTTAAAAACATTATAAATTATATATTATTATATTTAAGAAAATTGCACAGAAGATCTAAAGATACTAAGTCTAACGTTACAAACTTTGGACATACTGGCAGATAAGAAGTTGAGACGTATTTGAAATCTGGCTTGTGCAATGGTGTTTTTAGCAGTCATGCTGTTCCAGTAGTCATGTCCGCTCCATGAACATCACAATGTTTTCCATGATGCTGTTCATGTTATCAGTTATTTACCATCCGAGCAGCATAAACAAATATCAATTGATGTAGATGTATCCCGAAAATTAGCAAGTTAAAATGGTAATGTACCGGCCATATAACTGAGCTAAAAAGCTTCCTTTTGTTACTCCATCATCATATCGCTGCAAATACTGCATTTTAATGTTTTTAAATTATTACTTCACTTCCAGGTAGTTGGATGGGGGTTCAATCATAACGATAAGCTGGCAAGTACTTTACATCAAGTAGTTCTGCCCAAAATATTAGAAGCGCCTTGCATCAAAAGTAACGTTGCCTTTTTCGGAAAGTTGTTAAATGCTAAAAAATTCTGCGCTGGATACAGAAATGGTACGACTTATTTATACACCATTTAAATATTGCTGTAATTGACAAGCAAATTTAAACTAATGTAATAAGTATAGGTAAAGTAGTTTGGGTAATATTTCAACTAAGCATTCGCTTCGGTAGGGCATAGAAGATTCGAGTTTCAATTGTGCTCGCTGCGAAATTTATTTCATCACATAGTTTCAATATGATTTTTATATTTTAACAAAATTTCTATATCATTGGCTATAACAGTTTATTCTATTACGCCAATAGAGCTTCGTGTCTTTATGCGAAGTACCGTTTATAAAAGGAGACGAGTTTCTTTTGTCATTCTCGGACTGTCTGAAACGCACAACATTCGAGCATGTTCTTTTGATTTTTATAAAGTTATTTTTCATTATAAGCGTTTACTATTATTAGATTTTTGCCGTGATGTAGCTGTGTTAGCAAAGCTGCTTCGGTTTGAAGCATGAGATATGGCAATGAAATTACAGGGTACAAAGACATAACACCTTAGTCTTCAGGAGTGGCAACGCATGAACGATATCAAAGGTGCCATAATATACTGCCTTATGTCTATGGTACTGTTTATGTCTAAAGGTGACGCTGATCTATTTTCATCAGGTGGCCCGTCAGCTTATTTGCCTTTTTCATTCGCATAAAAGAAAATAAGTTACGGGTTTATTTTTATACCTTGAAGCATAAAAAAACTGAAAAGTATCAATTATACTTTTTTGAAAGTTTCAGTTTTGTTATAAATATTATAGGTACCTCAGCATGCAATGGAGACAGCGGTGGTGCTTACCAAGTGTTCGTTCCTGATATTACTGGTGATTCATCAGCTAACGCTACTGGCGCTTGGCATGTCCATGGCATAGTCTCTATCGCCTTATCGCGACCCAACCAGCCTATATGTGACCATACACAGTACTCTTTATTCACTGATGTCGGTTCTTTTGTTGGATGGATAAATAGCCATATCAAGACTGATAATTAATATTATAATTATTTGATTAAAACAAAGTTTAATATGGAGTTTTATATTACTAGCTTTTATCCCGATACCGTTCACGTGACTAGGATAAAAATGTAGTCTATATCTATGTTTAATAGAGGGAGACTTTGTACAAAAGTCGATTGCTTGGGTACCTACAGAGGTAGCCCATTCGTGTTTCAACCGTGAAGCAGTTGTGTTTGCATGGCTGTGTTTCGGTTTGAAGGGTGGGATATGGCGTGAATTTACAGGGTACAGAGGAATAACATCTGAGTCCTCAGGAATGGCAACGCATGGGGGGTATCATGGGCGAAACAGTATACTCTGTTATGTCCATGGTACTGCTCATGTCTATAGGCGACGGTTACCACTTTCCATCAGGTGGGCCGTCAGCTTGTTTGCCATTCTAAGTTGTATAAAAAAAAATAGTATATAATATATAAATCAAATTGCATAGTGATTGGTTAAGCCGTTAAGGTACTGTAAGGTGAACAAACAAATTTACTTTCACATTTTTTTTTTTTTTTTTTTTTTTTTTTTTTTTTTTTTTTTTTTTACAACACAGGGGGCAAACGAGCATGCGGCTCACCTGATGGTAAGTGACTACCGCCGCCCATAATCACCCACAACACCTACGGCATTGCAGGTGTGCTGCCGGCCTTTTAAAAAGGAATATGCTCTTTTCTTGAAGGTTATGTTGTCGTATCGGTTCGGAAATACTGCTGCTGGAAGTTGATTCCAAAGAGTGGTTGTGCGTGGGAGAAAGTGCCTTGAAAAACGCACGGTGGAGGACCGCCACTCGTCCAGATGGTTGGGATGAAATTTTAGTTTATGGCGGGTTGTACGATGGTGAAAATCAGCAGCAGGTATCAATCCGAACAATTCTTCAGAGCACTCCCCATGATAAATTCGGTAGAAGATGCACAGAGATGCAACATCTCTACGCAGTTTCAGTGGGTCGAGCCGGACAGTAAGACGCCGATCGTCAACAATTCGAGCTGCCCGACTTTGAATGCGGTCTAATGGAAGGAGTTGGTACTGTGGCGCTCCTGCCCACAGGTGAGAACAGTATTCCATGTGTGGCCTCACTTGAGCTTTATACAGTTTCAGGCGGTTTTCTGGCGTGAAATACCGTCTCACCCTATTGAGCACCCCCAACTTTTTGGAAGCTATCTTAGCTTTTTCCTCCAGATGACCGCAAAACTGGACGTCGCTAGATATATCGACGCCAAGAATCCCCAGACTCGACTTATTATCAAGGGAAGTGCCCTGAAAGTGAGGAGATACGACAAACGGTGTCTTTTTTGCGGTGAACGCGCAGACTTGTGTCTTTTTAGGGTTAAAGTGAACAAGATTGCGTTCACCCCAGATCGAAACTTTATCGAGTGAAGTTTCGATTTCAGACACAAGTCTGTTCCGGAGCTCATCGGTATGTGCCCGCGAGATCTTTGCATGACCAGTGTATAATGCATCTCCTGTACTGTCGTCCGCATAACAATGAATATCACTGATCTGTAACATATCATTGATATGCAGAAGAAACAGTGTCGGAGATAGTACACAGCCTTGCGGGACACCAGCATTCACAGGTTTTAAGTCAGAGCATGCTCCGTCGACTACGACCTTAATGCTACGTTCCTTAAGAAAGCTGGCGACCCAACTGCACAATCTCGCGGGCAACCCAAACGAAGGTAGTTTCGAGATTAGTGCCCTATGCCACACCCGATCAAAGGCTTTCGCAATATCCAGACTAACAGCTAAGGCCTCTCCCTTATTCTCGATTGCCACCGCCCATCGGTGTGTTAAATAAATTAAAAGATCACCAGCCGAGCGTCCTCGTCGAAAGCCGTACTGGCGGTCTGAGATCAGCTGGCGATCCTCTAGGTACCGGAGCAGTTGATCGTTAATAACTGATTCCATGACTTTCGAGAATAAGGAAGTAATAGCTATGGGCCTATAGTTAGCTGGATCTGAGCGGTCTCCTTTTTAGGGATCGGATGCACCAAAGCAGTCTTCCAAAACTTTGGGACTATACCTGATGAGTAACAGAGCCGAAAAAGACGCGTAAGAACCGGAGCCAACTCTGGTGCGCACGTCCTAAGCACAATTGGAGGAATGCCATCGGGCCCACTCGACTTATGGATTTCAAGGGAGAGAAGTGCTCTACGCACTGATCTTTGCGTGAATTTAACATTCGGCATAGAGCTCTTACAACGCGGAATGGTCGGCGGTAGTTTCTCTCCGTCATCCAACGTCGAGTTTGATGCAAAGAGAGATCCAAGGAGATCGGCCTTCTCTTTGGCGTTCAGAGCCAACGAGTTATCCTCCCTGCGCAATGGTGGAAAAGATGACTGACAGAAATTCCCTTGTGCAGCTTTGGCAAGAGACCAGAAAGCTCGAGATCCCGAAGGTAAACTGGCCAATCTCTTGCCAATTCTACCAATATGCTCTGACTTCGCTGTGGCCAAAACTCTTTTGAAGGACCTAGAGGCAAAGTTATAGAATAGAATAGAATAGAATAGAATAGAAATCATTTATTCAAATAAACTTACATTGAAGCACTTTTGAAAAGTCATTACATTTTTTTTAATTTACCGCTCGTTCGGAAAGCTGTCTCATCACAAGAAGAACGAGCAAGAAACTTGCGTGATGCTCTTTTAAATAATTTTATTATTATTTTACATTTTTAAGTTTAATTGTGTGAATACAAACCACCAATTAGCACTAATTCAATTAAATACTCAAAAAGAAAAAAAAAATTGAATACATAACCAACTGGTTAAACAATTAATAAGAGGAAATCAGTCATAGTGATTAGAGCAGACCAGTCCCTACAAGCAGCACCCGTTCACGAGTATGACGGATGAGCCAGCCATCACTGCGCTCGACCATATTTTAGGGAGCCCAATGACCCGGCCCACCACGCCGCCACAAGTCTGGACATTTTAGTGAGCATGACTACTCAAAACACTAGACCACGTCAAAGCTACTCACAATTGCCATCTGATAGTTATAGTATTCACATTTTACATAAGAATGCATGCGGCAATTAATACAAAAAACCGCTACGCTTTCATATTTCTAAAATTAATCAATTAAATCAAGAAAGCAATGAGAAAATAAAATTATAACGTTGTATGCTAATAAACTAATTATTTACTTGATATGTTGTCATCTATGAATTCGTCTATCCTGTAATAGGCTTTCTTACATAAAAATTGTTTAATATAAGATTTGAATTGCCTCTCTGTCAGATTTAATGCAGATTCCGGCAGTTTATTATAAAATCTTATGCAATTACCATAGAATGAATTACTGATTTTGTGCAGACGGCATTTAGGTAAAATAAGCTTATTTATATTGCGTAAGTTTCTACTTGTACAGTCTTTGAGTTTTTTAAAACTCGCTAAGTTCTTCCGTGTATACATAATATTTTCATAAATGTATTGTGAAGTAACTGTGAGGATATTTGAGTCTTTAAAGCACTGACGTAATGACTCTCTTGAACCCATACCATAAATAGAACGTATGGCTCTCTTTTGTAAAACAAATATAGTATTTATATCGGCTGCTTTACCCCACAGCAGTATGCCATAAGACATTATGCTATGGAAATAACTAAAATATACAAGTTTAGCCGTCGCCACGTCTGTTAATTGCCTAATTCTTCTAATTGCATATGCAGCAGAACTGAGTCTACTGGCCAATTTTGAAATATGGGGCCCCCATTGTAATTTCGAGTCCACTGTTATACCTAAAAAAACTGTATCATTAACAAAATTTACTATTTCGTCATTAAGCAATAACTGTGTATTTATTAGTCTTACATTAGGAAGTGTAAATTTTATACACTTTGTTTTGCTGGAATTTAATAATAGGTTATTACATGTAAACCAATTTAATATTGCAGACATAGCACAATTTACATCGTCTAATTGATTACTTTGACGTCCAATTTTAAACACTAACGAAGTATCATCCGCAAACAGCACTATATCTGCAATTTTCTCTACCATAAAGGGAAGGTCATTTATGTAGATTAAAAAGAGAAAGGGGCCTAAGATTGACCCTTGTGGAACGCCCATCTTAATATTAGCTCCCTTAGATTTTACACCGTCAATATCTACAGTTTGAACCCTATCCTCTAAATAAGTTCTCATTAATTTAACCTTAAAAAGAAGTATAAATTAATTTAATTTATACTTCTTTTTAAGGGCACTGATGTTAGGATCTCGCGACGCCACACCTTTGGCCCAGGCTAGGAAGCACTCCTGTTTCAGGCGAGATGCTATTCTACAAGAGGCTCCATACCAGGGCTGGGATTTCCCACCGACAGGTACCACAGAGTTAGGAATAAATAATTCCATTCCCTGAAGCACCACATCGGCGATGGAATTGACGATGGCGTCGGGATCCACCAGTGCGAAGCAAACCTGCCTCCATGGATAAGATGCGAAAAAAATCCGCATCTCATCCCAGTCTGCCGACTTGTAGTGCCAAACACGACGTCTACCCGTAGAACGTGGTGGAATCGGACTCATGAGAGGCACCTCGCTCCGCACCAGACAGTGATCCGACGATCCAAGCGGAGCTTCGACGGAAATCACATAGTTGTCTGGGTGGGTGGTCAGCAGAAGGTCCAGCAGTGAAGGTGAATGGTCCAACACATCAGGTATTCGCGTGGGCGAGGAAACAAGTTGCGTCAGACCATAAGCCAAAGCAAAGTCATGAACAGATCTTCCCGCATAGTCGGTTGTACGTGAACCAAGCCATTCGGTATGGTGGGCATTAAAGTCGCCAAGAATCACGACTTCAGCGGAAGGAATCTGTTCGAGCAGGGAATCTGTAGCCATTTGGACGTGCTCAATGAGTTGGTCGGTTTCGATGTTACCGCTGTGGGACCTGTATAGGCATGCATAGACGCGAGGATGGTCATTGCAGTCTACGCGCAGCCATAAAATAGACAGGTCCGTTCCTTCAAGAATTCCAAGGCGGCGACAGCAGATATCCTCTCTGACATACGCGCATACACCGGCACGCGAAACAAAACAATGTTCAAGTTTATAGCCCGGGTACGTCAGGTATGAAGTTTCGTTTGGAGAGGATATCTGTGTCTCCGTTAGAAAAAGCAATGCCGGCCGCGCCGTTTCTAGGTGGTGGTGGACAGCGTTTAGGTTAGAATGTAATCCCCTGATGTTGCAGAAGCTCACATTGAGCGAAGGGGATGCCGTAGAAATCTTGCTCCGTTTGCCCTTGGTTCCAAAGAGCGGAATTTTGCCCCCCCCAGAATACGCAGGGCAGCCCGAGCGTGGTTGCTCGAGGGAGGATTCTCCAGCAACATGGTTACTGGTACCTCCCTGGGGTATGTTATTTTTTTTTAATTCCACTGCCATGGTTGCGTGTTGTAAGATAGGGGGACGGGGTTGGGGAAAGGATTTTAGGAATAGGAAAGGGATGGGTATGGGATGGGAATGGGATGGGCCTCCGGACTCCCTCACTCACCATACGGAATGTGATCGCACTAAAAGTACAACCACTTAGCGTCGGTATTCTGTGAGGGTGTGGTACTTCCCCGGTCGAGCCGGCCCATTCATGCTGCAATACCATATAGGATTACAGCGTGGCTCTACCACAGTAAAGTTAGTAAGGATTTACCTTTACCCACGATTTCATATAACGGGGATATTCGTATATCCCGAATCTCTGAGGAATTGTTCGGATTGATACCTGCTGCTGATTTTCACCACCGTACCGTAACTCGCCACAAACTAAAGTTGCATCCCAATCATCTGGACGAGTGGCGGTCTTCCACCGTGCGTTTTTCAAGGCACTTTCTTCCACACACAACCATTCTTTGGAATCAACTTCCAGCAGCAGTATTTCCGAACCGATACGACAACATAACCTTCAAGAAAAGAGTATATTCCTTTTTAAAAGGCCGGCAGCACGTCTGCAATGCCGCTGGTGTTGTGGGTGATCATAGGCGGCGGTAGTCACTTACCATTAGGTGAGCCGCATGATCGTTTACCCCCTGTGTTGTAAAAAAAAATTAATTGATTGGGTAAAGAATAGTCTGTTTTATTCTTTACCTTAAGTACTATCATCATATATCAGCCATTTACTGTCCACTATTGAACCTAGGTTTTCCTGGTAAAGGGTGTTTTTTTTTAATAAGTGATAATGGTATGGTAACCCCGTCTGCGCTATCGGTATACACTGGCGGGGCACCAGTGATAGATGACTGATGAGGATGAAAGCTGGCCAGTTAGCCCATTCTGACGAATTCAACTAGAATTAGCCATGATGGTTTCCAGATGGAACCACGTGGAGGTCGACTTGACTATAAGGGATTGTTGGTAATGGGGCTATTTGACCCCATTACTGCCAATCCCTTTTCCCCCCGTAAAGGGTGTTTTGCCAGTAGTTGCCACACTTGACGGACTGATTTTGATGATGTTTTAAGAGAGACACTGCTGCCTATCCCTTGATTATTAAGTTCCATTAGTCGCCTCTTACGACATCCATGGAAAAGGAAGGGGTGGCCTATTCTAATTTATTATATTTTAATTCAATAATTACCGGTGTAACTTACGTGCAATTAGATCAAGCCTATTCTACGCTGTGACCACACAGCATGTGAAGTACTGTAGTATACACCAAATTCCATGACGATCGGTAAAGCCGTTAAGGTAACAGGATATATCAAACAAACATTTGATTCAAAGTTAGCGACAAAATCGAGTAACATGATAAAAAAAAAAAAAAGAATTGAAAGTCTTCTCCTCGTTTAAGAATATTAGGAAAGTTTGCAATTAGTATCGAGAAATGACCTCAAAACTTGTATATCCTTATTAATTTAATAAATTTGAAAGTGAGTTTGTTCGTTTCTTAGCTCATAGAGACCCAAGAAACTGACGAAACCTTGTGCGATCTACCAATTACAAACTTCTTGAAATCACAAATCAAACAACACAGTTCAGTACACAATTATTTATTTATTACATCCACTGGTTGAGCCTTACAGTCTTCCAATACGCTCACCCAGGAAAGCATGAGTACAATAACATATAGAATAGGAATATTACACATATATAACAAGAATAATATAAAAAGATCAAACAAAAACTGAACACACTCTGTTCGACGAAACTCCAGCAAGTTGGTGGCAATACATCCAATTGCGGATACTGGCTTAAAATGTCAGATTTGCAGTACTTTTTTTTATTTCGTTAAGTAGGGAAAACATAAAATTGAAAATTATTCTTAGTAATTACTTATTTATATTAGCGTGAGCATTGCATCTGTGCATTTTCCGTTAGTTAAGCAAGATATTATATTTTTTGCCTAAAAGCGATTGACCGGCTAGCCATCCCTGTCATAGGGGCTCAACAGCTTTACCAGCCAGTAAACAAAGTAATTCCTGTAATATTGGTGAAATAAAGTGTAGAATAAATAAATAAATAAACATATCTCGGTGGCGCAAAGGAAATTGCGAGTAAAAGATAGTTGCTTACGCTAAAAAAACAAAATGTGTTAATTTCTCTCTATCTAAAAGTTTTAATACTAATTGCAATATTAAAAAATGACTGAATCTCTCAATTTATAGAATCTACTGTCTTTCTAGGAATCACACTAGATAATAAAACACAATGGGGTGCACAAATTCAAAGCCTTGCAGCGAAACTAAGTTCGGCAGCTTTTGCCGTGCGTAAAGTTAGACAGTACACTGATACTGATACTGCTAGATTAGTCTATTTTAGTTATTTTCATAGTTTACTCTCTTATGGAATATTACTATGCAGATATTAAGAATATATTCATATTACAAAAACGTGCCGTTCGAGCGATCTACTGTATGAAGAGTCGTGACTCATTAAGAGATAAATTCAAAGAGGCAAATATTATCACCGTTGCTTCTAAATTTATATATTCAAATATAAAATATGATCAAAAAAATCTTGAATTAATTCCAAAAAACAGCAATATTCATAATATTAATACTAGATTTAAAGACAAACTTGCTGTCCCAAGTATCGTTTAGAAAAAGTTAATAGGTCTTTTATGGGAATAGATATTATAATTTGTTGGCTTAAATAAATTCAAAACATCTGTTAAATCATATTTGTCTGAGCAAAGCCTATTACTCACTAAACGATTACTTGAATGACGAGTGTGCATGGCAATAGTTGTTCATGCACTGAATTTTCATTTAATGTTAGACATGACACCTATATAAATATACATTGTAAATAAAGCTTTAAAAAAAAAAAGTAATTCAATTGAGTTTCTTGCCAGTTCTTCTCAAATCTATATACCGAACTGGAAGGGTAAATATAAAATTATAATGTAAAAATTTGACGTTCATAAGCGGCTAAAATGTCCTACATGAATAAATGATTTTTGAATTTGAATTTGAATTTGAATTTGAATTTGCTTAATAACTTACCTACCATTGGACGATAATGACCTCAGAGGTCATTATTATTATAGGTTACGAAGATAATTAAGTTATATATACAAAATGTCTGTGGGATTTACCATTTGAGACCGGTTTCTTCAATGATTTAATGTAACTGTAAAATAGAATAGTTAGGTTTTTCTTCATATGTCTAGATTAATTTACCTGATGGTAAATACATACTCATGTGTTGATTCGTATGAATATATATCTATAGTTCACTGCCGATAGAAGCTTTTCGTATATTACTCTGTATTTTATACCCTTGAGATGATAAGCGGTATAACGTCTGCAATACCAGGACATTACGCTCGCGTTGTCAACCCTGAATAAACTTTTTTACCTAATTTTTTAACAACCCCAATTTAATTTATAATAAACATAAAAAATATCAAAGTTCGCCGTGTAGACCCGGCATAGAATAGGCCATTCCTTCTTTTCCTGTGAATGTAAGAAGCGATTAAGGGAACTTAATGGTCAAGGGATGAGCAGCAGCGTCCCTCTTTAAACATCTCCACGGCATAACTGTCTGCCAACCCGTCTATCAAGTGTGGCAACTACAGGTAAATTCTGCAGTCGACAATTAACGGTTGGTAAAAAATCAAAATTATTTCAGTTTGAAGGGTGGGATACGGCGTGAATTTACTGGGTACGGAGGCGTAATATCTGAGTCCTCAGGAATGGCAACGCATGGGGGGTATCATGGGCGAAACAGTATACTCTGTTATGTCCATGGTACTGCTCATGTTTATAGGCGACGGTTACCACCTTCCATCAGGTGGGCCGTCAGCTTATTTGTTATTCTAAGTTGTATAAAAAAAAAAAAAAACTCGTATCGCTTAATCAATTCTAATAGTATGGAAATTATGTCACGACTGATTATTTGTCATCATCATCATCTTCCTACCCTTATCCCAATTATTATATGGGGTCGGCGTAATGTTTTTATTCATATAACAAAAAGATTTGGCTTAGTTTTACGACCGGTTGCCTGCCTGACGTCAATCCTCTTTGGGAAATTATTTGTCATCGTTGAGTTGAAAGAACAAAAATTCTCAAAATCTTAATATTTTTATTTACATTAACAATTACGTCTCATTATAGGCAAAGATTTTATAAGAAGATGATGAAGCTATGCTGGCCAAGTGGCTTGGAATAGGTTTTCTTTTCGAGTTTTTATTCTCTCTAAACTGCCTCTTACTATATGAAGCGTAGGAATGAAAAAGAGGCCACACACTATTCGGTTAGTACGTGTTTTGATCATAGAAACGAGCCTTCTTATTCGTCTTTCTGATATGTGATAAGAATATTTAATAATGCTAAAAATAGAAAAGACATCATATCGGAATCAAAAGGGAATAAAAAGTATGTATAAATGATATAGAATATATAAAATAAATGGGCATTTATAAAATTGACTACGTTTTAAGCTTTGCATGTAACATTGGAATAAAGTACAATATTCAACAGTCAGTATCGATGTTCCGATGCAAACTGACCGCTTACTGACATTTCGTAAAATTTTATTCAATTTTTTTTTTACAATTAATATTGTTTGTGTTTTTAACTAGATATAAAAAAAAATGTATTTGTTATTGTAATTTAGTGTTTTTATTTGGCGCGTCGAATTTTTGTTTTGCGTTCGAATTTTAAAATGAAGACAGTGGTTAAGATTCTAGTTATTTTTAATATACTAAGTTGCGGGCAAACGTCCGATCTAGTGAAGAAATGGGGGATTGTCGGTACACCTTTGGGAAGAGCTCGGCCTTGCAAAGGAAATGACGTCGTTGATGCATCCTTCGAAGCAGGTTTGAGTCCCGAGGAAGAAAATATGTATCATTTGAACATTTATGAAGTATTTCCTGCACAATCTCGTATTATAATTAAGTTTGACTCTGAAGCAACCGTAACATTGGTAAGTGTGTTATGTTCGCCAAATGTAGGTACGTAGAATTTTACTGTGCTTTGAAGTTACCAGAGGGACTTGAATTTAGTCTATGTTCCATTGCATGAATATTGTTTTATAAATTTTTACAAGTCTTATAAATAAATAAAAATATAAAATTAAATTATGAAGTATCATATTAAGATCATATTAAAAAAAAAAACCTGTGTACTGCTCGTATTTTTGTAATAAATTCTTGATTAGTTTCGGCCTTTTGAAGTCCTTCATTTATGGTTTAATATTGGATCTCCGAATAAGAAATAAACATTGAGTAACAAAATATTTAATTTAATTGACTAGTGTATATATATATATATATATATATATATATATATATATATATTATTATATATTATATATATATATATATATATATATATATATATATATATATATATATATATTAAACGATTTTAAAGTGCTTGTAAACAAGTCTATTTGAATTCGAATGCATTGATGAGGGTTAACTGAATGATTCATAGATACTTTAGATTTTTTTTTTAATGGATGATAATGGAATCGTAACCCCGCCCGCACTATCGGTATACACCGGATGATAGGCGAGTATGAAGCAGGTCAGTTAGCCCATCGTGACGAATTCAACAAGAATTGTTCACGATGGTTTCCAGGGGGAACCACGTGGAGGTCGACCTAATGAGGCATATTGCTAGCAATGGGGCTGTCAAACTCCATTGCTAACAATCCCCTTCCCCCCAGATACTTTAGATTTAAAATAATATTTTATTGGAATTATCTAATATATAAAATTCTCGTGTCGCGGTGTTTGTTACCAAACTCCTCCGAAACGGCTTTATCAATTTTTATGATATTTTGTGTGCATATCGGGTAGATCTGAGAATCGGCTAACATCTATTTTTCATACCTCAATGATGAGGGTATTTTTTTGACAAATTTTTTTATTTTTATTTGATTATGATTTAGCATTTACAAAAATATATACAAATTAAAATTTTCACGCTTTTACGATCAACCCCTGTTTTTTAATCGCGATTTTTATATGCCGCAATAGGATTGCAAGATGGCAATCCAATATAATAATTGTAGTAGGATAAATTTTCATGTATAGTTCTCGAAACGATGTATATGGTAAAATAACGTTTGCCGAGTCACCTAGTATTACATATAACTTTATAACAATTTGCAGGTTAACGATACTGTGGCAAGAATAAGAACTATCAAATCAGATTTAGAAGTTTTTATAAGTTTCTTCAAACCGGCGTCGTATTTCAGTGTCATTGTTAAGGGACCCCAAACAGGAACGGTGCCATATCCCACTTCAATCGTTGTAAACACCGTAGAGTACTGTGAACATCCAGCGCCTGTAAGTGAATAATCATTTATTATTACATATGAGTATTATTATTACGTATTATACAAACAGTGTTTCCATAAAAATGTTTCGAGAACCCAATAAATTCAATATTAGATAAGTGTCTCTCCACATCTCTCACAGAGGATATAAACTACTGCTGCTATGCAAGCCAGGTGGCTTGGTATAGGGATTTGTTCAGAATTTCTAATTATATATATTTTTTATTTAATTACATTTTATTGTACATAAAAATTTTATTGTTATAAATTATTTTGAACAGGTTAGCTTAACTGTATAAGAGTTCTCTCTTCCAGCAAACTCTAAGGGGATAGGATCATTAAAAACTATAGTTATACATTAAAGGGAGACTTTGTACAAAAGTCGATTACATGGATACCTCTGTCCCATTCGTGTTTCAACCGTAAAGCAGTTGTGTTTGCATGGCTGTGTTTCGGTTTGAAGGGTGGGATATGGCGTGAATTTACTGGGTACAGAGGAATAACACCTGAGTCCTCAGGAATGGCAACGCATGGTGGGTATCATGGGCGAAATAGTATACTCTGTCATATCTATGGTACTGCTCATGTCTATAGGCGACGGTTACCACTTACCATCAGGTGGGCCGTCAGCTTGTTTGCCATTCTATGTTGTATAAAAAAAACTATATATATATATATATATATATATATATATATATATATATATATATATATATATATATATATATATGTTGTGTTATAATTTTTGCATCTTTTTAAAGCGTTAAAATTTATTTTATTTATTAACCCTTTGCCAGTAATCCAGCCTAGTAATTCATAGTGGATACCAATAACTTATTAACTTATCAATAACTTATTATAATGTAAACAAAATAAACATATTATGAACACTAGGAGATAAACACAGAGGATTTCGCTTACCTAAGTATTAAGTGCGCTGAGTCAGTAAAACAACCGTGTCGCTGTAGCCGCGACAGTGGATTTAATGTTAGCATTTTAATGTCGCAAATACGGCGACAACGGAGTGCAAAGGGTTAAATAATTAAATATAGATACATAAATAGACATTAATGTGTGTAAGTATATAGAATACATAAAAAAACGAGTCAGCTAATAGCTGACAAAAAGTTGACTCGTTTTTGAGAGTCGATGCTCTATCTATATAACATAAGACTATATATTTTACATTTTATTATCTGGTTGACAATTAGCTTACAAAAAGTTGATTCATTTTTCGGACAGGTCAGTTCAACGATAAATTAGTCACGATGGTTTCCAGGGGGAACCGCGTGGAGGTCGACCTGATACATTGATAGCAATGGGAACTAACGGTCTCATTACTAACAATCCTTTCCCCCCAATGATACAGATTATACAGATTTCTTACGTTAGGTTTAAAATGTTAAAACGAAAGACAATTTCTTGTTCAGATATTACTTGGGGACAAGACTCCTTTTTTGTTAATATCAAAATGTAATTGTTTAGGGATTTCTTGACGGTGTCATCGAGGGATATAAAGGAACAGCGCACGTGGCTCTTACAGTACCCACTGGTTCCTGTGGGAGACGTAAAGTAACGCACACCGAGCTGATCGTGAATGGCCAGCCTACCAAGCCTGGAGACTGGCCCTGGCACGGAGCCATTTACAGACTGGAGCAATATTCTGTAAAATACATCTGTGGAGGAACACTTATATCGAAAACTTTTGTTTTAACAGGTAGGTAAAATTTTATGACACGTTGTAAAGAGTTCTTTCTGTTTGCACTAATATTATCTCTTTATATACTTATATCTATAATAAAACAGTATGTTCTTCTGCCACAAGAAAATAAAACTAAAAATATCATTTACGCAGAAGTATTTTGAAATATATTCTTTTAAAAATTTCTTAATTGCGATCATGTTAACAGAATTTGACGCGGGCGAAGTCGCGGGCAACAGCTAGTCTGTAATAAGTAGTCACTTATAACTTATTATAACATTATTAAATAATTACTTTATTTGATATTTTAACGAAGTGTTTTCATTAATTTTTAATTATCATTAGATAAATAGATAGGTTGCTGTGTGGTCCTAGCAGAGAATAGGCCATCCCTTACTTTCCCGTGGGTGCAGTAAGAGGCGACTTAGGGAGATTGAGGGATGGGCAGAAGCGTCCCTTTTAAAATATCTCCATAGCTTAACTGCGGTTGCCAATCCGCCTGCCAAGCGTGGTAACTACTAGAAAAACCCTCCAAGAGGGAGGCTTATGTTCAGCAGTGGACAGGTGAAGGAAGAATGAGATAAATAGATGTATAATTTATTTGTATTACTTACTTACACACAAATAACATTACAATTGATATAAAGTATGGAATATCTACCTATCTATCATTTTACATAAGCTCGTATCAAAGAATACTAACTCTCAATAAATAAAATTAAATGAAAACATTCATCTTACTAAAATCACATTTACAGTAACTTTTAACAAAAAATATTTATGTGGAATTTTGTATGAAGGTCCTTTTTCGTGCAATCCACTTGATAAAAAGTGGTAACCGTCACTTATAGACTCGAACAACGTTATAGACGTCACAGAATATTCTGGTGGTCTACCATGAAATGAAATTCCTAAATTTCGGGCTCAATTTCTTGTTTTTGTTCGTATCAAAATCGACCCAGTAAATGGAGCTTAATATTTCGTTCATCATAAATCCTATCCTAATAGTCCAAAGGAACGAATATTTTAACATTTTTAATAATTTTAAACATGAATTATGTAATTTTAACATCAAATTTCTATTTCGTTTGTCCCCGAAATTTCGGAAAATACTTCATGGTAGGCCCTCTGTTATTGGAACTGGAATATCTCTCAAGCCTGCATACCTTGTAATCTCACTTCTATATCTAACAGTTCAAGAAATACAGTCGTACAAGCATAGATGCTTTACAGCAGAGGCACGAGTGAGAAGTACACGACTTAAGTAGATGACTATATAATATAAAGCCTTCTCTTTTAATAACATAAATCAGAATATATTTAAGAATTTGTATGAAGATGTGGTCAAAACGTGGAAATGATTTTCTTTGCACAAAAGTCGATTGCTTGGGTACCTCTGTCTCATTCGTGTTTCAACCGTGAAGCAGTTGTGTTTGCATGGCTGTGTTTCGGTTTGAAGGGTGGGTACAGAGGAATAACACCTGAGTCCTCAGGAATGGTAACGCATAGGGGGTATCATGGGCGAAACAGTATACTCTGCTATGTCCATGGTACTGCTCATGTCTATAGGTGACGGTTACCACTTTCCATCAGTTGGGCCGTCAGCTTGTTTGCCATTCTAAGTTGTATAAAAAAAAATACAAAAATGTTTTAGCCGCTCATTGCACGACAATCAATGGAGAGCCAGTATTGGCTGAGTTATTGAGTATCATTTTTGGGAAGTACCACCTGACTGGTGGCGATGTTGCAACTCAAGAGAGAGAGGTATGTATGAGTGTATTAGATTAATAAAATTTAATATTAAGTGTTTGTACAAAATATAAAAAGATAAACGATTGATTAAGTTTCCATACAATTTAAAAATACTCAAAAAGCATTTATTTATTTATTACATCCACTGGTTGAGCCTTACAGTCTTCCAATACGCTCACCCAGGAAAGCATGAGTACAATAACATATAGAATAGGAATATTACACATATATAACAAGAATAATATAAAAAGACTTAAACAAAAACGTCTGAACACAAATACTCTGTGGTCACTCGATGAAACTCCAGCAAGTTGGAGGCAAATACATCCAATTGCGGATACTGGCTCAAAATGTCATTGAGTAGTTTCAATGCAAGAGATAGGGGAGCCTGCTTAGCGAATTTATAACTATCACACTAGAGTTATATACTAAAATGAAACCGTAATAGTATCTTGCGATTACAGATACGAAGGTAACTACTAAGAGTATGACTCATCTTTGTAACTATGTAATTCTTCTGTAATATCTGAGTAAATGCATATGTATAGCACAGAAGGATATATATCCTTTAAAATTGAAGGATTGTAAAATTGCAAATAAAAGCAAATAATAATTGCAATGTAATTTATTTATTTATTTACAAGAAACATGATAAGTGTATAGATGTTACAATAAGTATAAGTCCTCATATTTCGCCATAATTAGGCGTGCAAATATTAAAACTTAAAAAGAATAAATGTTAAATAAGTCATTAAAATTGGAAATGTTATATGAAAAAAAAATACATCAAAAATATTAGACACTTGACAACGATAAAAAAGAAAGAAATGTCACTGTCAAATCATGGACTATTGACAACAGCTGCATTGTAACACGATAGGTAATTCAAGTAGGTTGTTTACATTTTTGTATCAAAAACTCTTGCACACTGTAAAAGGACTCCTCAACAAGCCAATGTTTTATTGAATCTTTAAAATTTTCTAAATAGGAGACTTTTTGGTATTTTATTATAAGTTTAAATTGTCATTAAATAAAAATAGTAAGTAAAGAGCAACAAACTTGAAGGTAGATAAAAAAACAAAGAACATCACAAAACAAAGAAATCTGATTAATAAAAAGTTTGACTTACTTAAGCTATTGATTTATTGAAACAGGTACATCAAGTTATAGTGCATGAGGAATATAACGCAAGAAAACTAGACAACGATATCGCACTGTTGAAGTTAAAGACCGAAGTAACATACGACGATTACGTCCAGCCGGCTTGTTTGTGGCATGCGAATGCTTATAAGAAATTACCAACTGGAACCATCAAGGGGACTGTAAGTTATTAAAATTGTAAGTTAGGTAAAGACTGCGCGGTTTCAGAGATGTTTCCTCCCACGAACACTCAGGTTGTGGAATGAGCTCCTTGCCGAGGTTTTCCCAAGAGACTACAGCATGGGGTTCTTCAAAAGGGGGGTAAAGAGGTTTCTTCGGGGTCGGCAATGCACGCGTAATACCCTGGTATTGCAGGTGTTCATAGGCTACGGTAACCACTTACCATCAGGTGGGCCGTATGCTTATTTGCTACCTCAGTGGTATAAAAAAAAGTATATTACTGTCCAAAGTAAGGTTAATTATTGTAATTTATTTTCAACGTTATTATAGATAGGACTTTTTATTTCCCTCCAATATTTTCTTTTTTCAAAATCATTTTACGATTTTCTGCACTTCACACAAACTTTTGTCTTTTTTACAAGACGTTATTTATCTCCAAAATTTTTACAATAAAATGTTTTTAGCTTAAATTATTTATTTTTATTATGTAATTAATCGTTTTACATCATCACTGTAACAGTAATAATATATTTTTGTCAATTATTATAAAATAAAATAAAATTAGATATTTAACTTCTTTCCGCACGGCCATCCTGTTCATTCTTGAGAGAGAAAGAGTTTTGATTGGTTTAAAATCAGGTTATAGTTTTTTCTTTTCAGGTAGTCGGTTGGGGATTTAATCACAACGACCAACTCTCCAGTACCCTCCATCAAGTGACTCTACCAAAAATATTAGATGGCCCATGCATTAAAAGTAATACCGCCTTTTTCGGAAGGCTCTTAAATAATAGGAAATTCTGCGCTGGATACAGGAATGGTATGTTTAATTTATAAAAAAAGACGATGAAACTAATTGTTGTTTTGGGTATTGCAGCAGATATTTTCCAGTGATTGTTTGATTTTATTACTCATATTTTTTGTACGTTTGATATAAATTTATGAACAAATTTAAATACTCTCTCCACGATATACACAATGCTGTTCATATTTTTTTTTGATGGGTGAAAATGTTATGGTAACCCGCCTGCGCTAACGGGATACGCTGGCGGAGCACCAGTGAAGGGTGATAGATGAGAATGATAACAGGTCAGTTAGCCCATCATGATGAATTCATCAGGAATTAACCATGATAGTTTCCAGGGAGAACCGCGAGGAGGTCGACCTGGTTGGGTATATTGCTAGCAATGGGATTCTCAGTCTCCATTATTAACAATGCCCTTCCCCCCTGCTGTTCATATTATCTGATACTACTTAATGTAGTAATATTATGTTCAATTAATTATGTTCTTTTAGGTACCTCAGCTTGCAACGGTGACAGCGGTGGTGCATACCAAGTGTTTGTTCCTGACGTTACTGGAGAGTCATCAGCTAATGCTACTGGCGCCTGGCATGTCCGTGGCATCGTTTCCCTCGCCTTATCGCGCCCCAATGAACCAATTTGTGATAACACCCAATACACATTATTTACCGATGTCGCTTCGTTCGTTGGCTGGATAAAGAGGCACACTGAGGCTAATAATTAGCGTCATCGATGTACTGATTAAAATTATTTGTTAAAATTACTATATTTTAATATTGTATCCTTATTAATTAATATGGTATTTAATATGTTATCCTTATTAATGTTATAAATATGAAAAGAAACTTTTTTGCTTGTTTGTTATTTCTTTTTGTTTTAAAGGCTTAGTTAATATTCTTCAGATACTCTTAACTTAATACTCTTAAGGTTTAACTAAAAGAATTCATGATACTCTTAAAGGCTTAACTAATAGACTTAATGATACTCTTATATATAACTTAGAATGGCAAACAAGCTGACGGCCCACCTGATGGAAAGTGGTAACAGTCGCCTATAGACATCAGCAGTACCATGGACATAACAGAGTATACTGTTTCGCCCATGATACCCCCCATGCGTTGCCATTCCTGAGGACCCAGGTGTTATTCCTCTGTACCCTATAAATTCACTGCCAATCCCATCCTTCAAACCGAAACACAGCCATGCAAACACAACTGTTTTTCCACTCCGGGTAGCAAACCCGGAGAAGGAACCCGGAAGAGAAATCTTATACAATTAAGCTCGCCTGTTTAAAATAAAGTATAACGAACTAATTTTTCCGTACAATAAAGTGTAAATAAATAAATAAAAAAATATATATATATATATATATATATATATATATATATATATATATATATATATATATATATATATATATATATATATATATAATTGTTGAATGAATCCCTATACCAAGCCACCTGGCTTGCATAGTAGCAGTAGTCTTCTGTGAGAGAAGTGAAGAGACACTTAACTAATATTTTTTTTTAATGGGTGAAAATGGAATAGTCACCCTGCCGCGCCGGCGCTATCGGTATACACCAGCGGGGCGCCAATGGGAGATGATAAGTGAGAATGAATGTAGGTCAGTTGGCCCACCAAGATCAATTCGACAAGAATTAACCATGATGGTTTCCAGGGCGAAACTCGTGGAGGTTGACCTGACAGGGTATATTGCTAGCAATGGAGCTATTAGACCTCATTACTAACAATACCTTTCTCCCTCTAATATTGGGTTAAGAAAAAGTACTCAAACAAGCTTACTATATAATCCCAACATCTTTACTAATAAGGTGAAAGTGACCATTTGTGTTTTGTTGTGAAGCAGTTGTGTTTGCATGGCTGTGTTTCGGTTTGAAGGGTGGGATATGGCGTGAATTTACTCGGTACAAAGGAATATCACCTGAGTCCTCAGGAATGGCAACGCATGGGGGTATCATGGGCGAAACAGTATACTCTGTTATGTCTATAAGCGACTATTACCACTTTCCATCAGTTGGACCGTCAGCTTGTTTGCCATTCTAAGTTGTATAAAAAAATAACTATAAAACTTGCTATCTACTTCCTATATTGGATGATGATGATAATGATGATGAAGGGAGATATGTCACTTTTGATTCAGATCAGTGAACTAGCTAGTTATAATAAAAAATAAAGGTAAAAAAAACACGTTTGGTCAGTTTAGAAGTCATGTTAGATCATTAAATTTATATATAAATTGAAGTTATGTATAAAAAATGTATATATGCATAATTAAAATGCTTGTTTCTTTGTCCGTTGTTGGCGGTGATTATAAAAAGTACACGCACGAGTATCCGTTTTCCTTAATCATGTTACAGTCAATTGCTGATTTTGTTCTATCCGTTTAATTTACACTTTTCTATCGTGTGAAGTTTTTTGGCAAAAAAGTAGGTAAAAATATAGATAAAGACACTGTTTCATAAAAAAAAAGCAGACTTCAATTATAGCAAAACCAGTTACATTGATTTTTAATTATTGAACCGATTTTGATAAAAATTTACGACACCAATCTATAATGATTTTGTTCTGTCCGTTTTATTTATTTACAGTCTTCTGCATTGAGATGTTTCTGGTAAATGGGCATGTAAAACAATAATATAAGAGTCTATTTCATAAAAAAAAACAGACTTCATTTGTGGAATCAGACTTTGTACAAAAGTCAATTGCTCGGGTACCTCTGTCCCATTCGTGTTTCAACCGTGAAGCAGTTGTGTTTGCATGACTGTGTTTCGGTATGAAGGGTGGGATATAGCGTGAATTTACTGGGTACAGAGGGGCATGTAAACATCATTCATCTGAACATTACTAATATTCTAGCAAAATAAATTAATTTCATTCCATTTATGAGTAAATATACATTAAAAATATTTTGATTAATTTACAAAAATATATTAAAATGACGTATGGTATTTACATAGTTATCTGCAACATTTACAAGCACGACGTACAAATGCACTTAGATATATCAGTGGACAGTTGATATCATAGTTGACCTCACGTATAAATATTGACATTGATATAAATATCAAATCTAAATTAACAAAGTATAAATTTATTAAATTGTGTCAAATTTCACAAGAAAATGATTCGAATGACAATAGTATTTTTTTTACTAGCAGCAGTGAATAGTGTACCACAAGATAGAAGAAATTGGACTCTTCTTGTTAATCCGTTGGTTTCTGCACCACCATGTAAAGGATATACAAATATGTACATGGAATTCGAGCCTGGTCTGCCACCGGATGAAGAGAACTCGTATAAAGTTTATGTAAACGAGGAACTGCCCCTGTACAGTCAAATCAAATTAAAATTTGATTCTGAAGCTACAATTATATTAGTAAGTTATAATGTAATTAATTTAATTATGTCCGTTTAAAAATTGTTACAATATTGTACACTGCTATATCTGCTGACATTGATGTTCCTTTCCACTTTGGGTGTTGCTGGAAGAAAACTCTATTAGAGTTAAGCTCGCCTTTGTACATTTGATTACCTCTGTCATATTCTTATAACTGGTGTGTACAATAAAGAATTAAAATAATAAATAAATAAGTCAATTATTTGATAATAATCTTTGTTTGTTGATAATGTTATTATATATATATAGATTTATAACTGTCCAGAACTTAAATTGTAAAAACTAAATACATAGTTTTAATAGGACAACGTGGAATTAAATACTTAAAGTAAATGAGAAACTTTAAGGCCAGACACGATGTTTCACGATAATGTTTCAAAAAATTCGTATCATCATCATCATCATCATCATTTCAGCCATTATCCGTCCACTGCTGGACATAAGCCTCCACCATAGACTGCCATAAAGAACGGTCCTGAGCCACTTGCATCCACTGACTCCCTGCAACGCGTTTCAGGTCGTCACTCCATCTAGTGGGGGGTCGTCCTACTCAACGTTTGTCCGTACGGGGTCCTCATTCAAGAACTTTTCTTCCTCATCGATTGTCGGTTCTTCGAGCTATGTGACCAGCCTATTGCTACTTTAGCTTGCTTATCCTTCAGGCTATGTCGGATACGTTGGTTCTTTTGCAGATATCTTAGTTTTGGATTCTATCACGCAAAGAGACTCCGAACATAGCTTTCTCCATAAAAATTTCTATGCATGACTTGAATTACAAATTTTTACAAAAAGATTATAAAAGAATGCACAATTCAAATAACTACGCTTTATTTTCAGTGTATCTTTTTAGTCTCTGATTTTTAATTTATTCATCCATGCTCATAATCTAAATATATTCATATCGGTTTATGGTACGATTCCGTACAATTAATTTCAAATATACAATGACCCAATTTTCTTTGTCTTCATGTCGAATTCGAAATATAATTGGTTTTGTTATAAACTCATTTTTTTTTTATATGCATCGTTAATAATTTGCTGAATTTACAAGATGATTGGAGAGTGTACAGATATGTCATTCTATTCTCTTATTGCGTTATTTCATATGTAATTCTTTGTTTTTAAAATTTGTAGTTTTTGAAAACTTCTTTTGGAACATTTTCTAAGGAAAATTGATAGTCTAATTGCTTATCGCTAAGAACTTTCATGCAAACACAACTGCTTTAGCGTAAAGCAGTTGTGTTTGCATGGCTGTGTTTCGGTTTGAACGGTGGGATATGGCGTGAATTTATAGGGTACATCTGAAGTCTAATAACACCTGAGTCCTCAGGAATGGCAACGCATGGGGGGTATCATGGGCGAAACAGTATACTCTGTTATGTCCATGGTACTGCTCATGTCTATAGGCGACGGTTACCACTTTCCATCAGGTGGACCGTCAGCTTGTTTTCCATTCTAAGTTGTATAAAAAAATCTAAATAGACCTAAATTCAAATATTATCAATCTAAGGTAGATACCTTAAACATATCATCAATCATCAACGTAACTGTGTTTAGTCATGAATAACATTATTTTTTTTTATATGATGTAAATTACATTAAAAGATAGAGTAAGAAACAGTGTGATTAGAGAGAAGTGTGGACTAAAAGACGATGTAGTGACAAAAATCGAAAAAGGAATTGTTGCGTTGCGTTGGTTTGGTCAATTGGAGAGGATGGATGAAAGATGAATTACGAAAGAGATTTATCGAGCAAGAATGAATGGAGATGTCGGTAGGGGCCGCCCTAGACGGACGTATGTTGACCAAATAGGCGACGTGCTGAAGAAGAGCCAAATTAAAAGTACCCGTAACCGGCGAGCGTGTATGAAAAGATAAATGAATGTGGAAGAAGCGAAAGAGATTTGTTTGAATCGAAGCATTTGGCGTTCCATTGTTTCTGCGTACCCTAATGGGAGACAGGCGTGACAGATATGTATGTATGTATGTATGCAAATTGTAAGTTGTAATAGCATGGTGTGAGTAACAACCGTTGATTCAACATTATATAGTATGACCCAAAGAGTTACGTACCAAATCGGGACATATTGCTGTCGAGACGCGTCTTTTAGACGATTAATAGAAAATAGTTCTTTAAACTGCCGTTATTATGTTGGTAGCTCTTTTTAACATGTCAATCTATAGGCTGTCTTCACTGTATATCCAGTGAGAGTTCCATGAATTTACGTTTCTATAACGTTAGTATTTAGTTCGATATTGTATTGACATCGGTCCAATAGCTAATTGGTAAATATATGATTTTCTTAGAATTATATCAACTTATTTTCCTTTTGGTGACGAAATAAGAACTACTCTCTTGAGATGTCTTAATACGAATTATTAATGTAAATACAAATGTAATGTGTAAATAATATGTTAAACTCACACTTGGGGCAACTACCAGAGGGAGTCTTTATACAAAAGTAAATTTGACTTGATTTTATTTTTATTTATTTGTTTAAACTGATATACACAAATTTTTATGTAAGTATACATATGGCGGATTTAATATCTAAAGACGTACCTCTACCAGTCAAACATAAATCAAAAAATAAAATAAGAACAAATTAAGTTACAACATCGAAAATAAATGTGACTACAAATTAAATAATATAAAAATATTGTCACTAATATAATATATACCTATACATGCATAAATACATACATATATACTTACACAAATACATACACATAATATACAACTATAATTCTAATGATGATAAATCAAAAAATAGATAAAAAAGACAGAAAATTAATAAAAAAGGCATCTGCTCAGGTATTTAACTATAACCCATTCGTATTGGGGGGAAAGGGATTGTTAGTATTGGAGACTGAGAATTCCATTGCTAGCAATATACCCAACCAGGTCGACCTCCTCGCGGTTCTCCCTGGAAACTGTTATGGTTAATTCCTGATGAATTCATCATGACTGGCCTGTTTTCATTCTCATCTATCACCCTTCACTGGTGCCCCGCCAGCGTATCCCGTTAGCGCAGGCGGGGTTACTATACCATTTTCACTCATAAAAAAAACCCATTCTTATTTCTATCGCGAAGTAGTTGTTGTTGAAATTACACGATTCAGAGAAATAGCAGATTAGGCCTCAGAAGCGACAATGAGTGAGGAATAACAAGGGCATTCATATACTTTCTATCAGATGGGTCGATATTTTCTTTGCCATTTCAAGTCGCAAAAAATATACCTATTTTCTTTATACCACTGAAGTGGTAAACAAGCATACGGCCCACTCGATGGTAAGTGGTTGCCGTAGCCTATGAACACCTGCAATACCAGAGGTATTACGCGCGCGTTGCCGACCATGAAAAAAACTCTTTACACCCCTTTTGAAGAACCCCATGCTGTAGACTCTTGGGAAAACCTCGGCAGGGAGCTCATTCCATAACCTGAGTGTTCGTGGGAGGAAACATCTCTGAAAACGCGCTGTACGCGACCATTGAGGCTGTAGGATATGAGGATGAACTCACTATCGATGGCGAGCCGTACGATGCTAGAAAGTGGCTGTGGGCATCATATTGAACAATTCCTCTGAGCACAATCCGTTATACAAGCGGTAAAACACGCAAAGTGAGGCAAAATCTCTCCTAAGACTTAAGGGTTCGATACCGCTTGTAAGCCTGGGATCAGCGACAATTCTCATAGCTCGTCGTTGCAACGAGTCGAAGGATTTTTAGGATAGGTTTTTTGGGAAGCTGGTATTTAGGATTTATTTACCTATGCCTATATTAACATTATAATAACTATATTATACCATTTCAGAGCAACGAAACTGAAAATTTTGCTAGAGTGCATGCTTTCGAAATGCGTTTTAGTATTCAGTTTTTCAAAAAGGCCGACCGAGCAGTGTTCCGTGTCAAGGGACCGCCCACAGGGACAATCCCATATATGACAAGTGTCGACATCAATTATGTAGAATACTGTAAAGAGCCACTAACAGTAAGTAAAGGGTATCTCTATAATTTAAGACTCCTTCTCTGTTTACATAATTTGTATTTAAACACACTATCGCGACTTAGCGCGATGACAATTTTTTGCAGGTAAATAGTACCTAGATACCTACTTCTTTATTGCCGACATTTCGACATTTGAGCTGCATGACCTGAAACAGTATGGAACCCAGTGATTGTTATGTTAAAAACCCGCGATAAATTATTTAAATGTAGTGAGAATGCCGTGAGTGTGTTGTGTAGGGTAAATCTAGACAATAATAGTAACAGAGTGAGGGTACCCGAAGAGATTGCGCGGGCTGCCACACGAAGACGCCGCTCAGTCCAGTCCTGTCGTGACCACGACGTGGTGCAATCTAAGTCGAAATGTCGGCAATAAAAAACCAGGTATGTAGGTACTATTTGCCTGGAAAATTTGTTCATTGTACAAAGTCCCAAAAATTTATTTAAATATGTGTAAACAAAGTTTATAATTAATACATAAGTCATGTCGTAGCAGTAAACTTACTGGGAACGTAGCAGATACTCCGTCACCGGTTAATTATTTTGTGTAATTCCACTACCATTAGTATGTGTCTGTGAACGTTTAAGGAATTACTATTATTATTATTAGTACTTTGTATAAAAGTCGTTTGCTTGGGAACCTCTGTCCCATTCGTGTTTCTACCGTGAAGCAGTTGTGTTTGCATGGCTGTGATTCGGTTTGAGGGGTAGGATATGGCAGTGAATTTACAGGGTACAGAGGAATAACACCTGAGTCCTCAGGAATGGGAACACATAGGGATAGGATGAGCGAAACAATATACTCTGTTATGTCCATGGTACTGCTCATGTTAAAGACATTTCCACTTTCCATCAGGTGGGCCGTCAGCTTGTTTGCCATTCTAAGTTGCAAAACAAATGTATTAAGTTTTTTAGAGGAATAGAAATTGAGCAAGTTATCGTATATCTTTATTAGGTTGAGGATCTAATACTTCGTAGTTAGGTTTTGTAAATGGGAGATAATCAACTACCTGGATCCAATTTAACTTTCAGGCTGTTTTTGATAATTACCTTGTCGGGCGTAAAGGTACAGCTCATATTGGGCTGTCAACTCCTGATGATGGTTGTGGCAGACGGAAGGTTGTCCACACAGAGCTGATCGTCAACGGACAGCCTACCAAACATGGAGACTGGCCATGGCATGGAGCTATTTATCGACTGGACAGTTCGAGTCTTCGCTATATATGCGGAGGAACATTAGTTTCTAAAACTTATGTCTTGACTGGTAATGTGACATTTATTTATTATACAATAAATAAAGAACTTGACATTTAATCCACATATGGGCATGGGCATCTAAAATAAAAATTAGAAGATTATAATTGCCATGTGGACCCGGCATAGAATGGTCCTGTTCTTATCCGGTGGCGTCGTAAGAGGAGTTTAATAACCTAGTGATAAGTAGCAGAACCCCTTTTAAAACAATACCAAAGACCTAATTGCGATTGCCAACGCGCCTGTCAATCATAGCAAAATCCCTCCAATGGCAAATTGCCATAGGAAACGCATCGTTTCCTTATGACGGTCTATGAGGGAGACCTATGGATTGAAACGGCTAAAACATTGATGATGATGACGATAAAAAATTCTGGATATATTAGACAGTATTACTCAGTTTTAAATTATGCAGAATTTGCACTAACTGTTTGAAATACTTAAATATTTTTTTTGTAAACGGGTATACTTTTAGTAAATATAAATGTTTGCAAAATATGGAAAAGTAACCTACGACTATTGAAAGGAGATGCAGTCTTTTAAGACCCTTAATAGTATAGTGATTTATCACTATACTATTAAGGGTCATCAAAAATTAAGAAATTGTTACAAAATGAAATAAAAATAAAAGGTTTTAAGCGTAGCCTTCTGTGCTCATTTCGGTAAACGGTGTTTATAAAGTGCTAAATTTACCAGCTATTTAGTTCGTTCGTTAGTGTAATTGGTATTTGATGACCTAAACAGTATGTGTATATCAGCTGAGCTGTTAAGGTGATAAGAGGTAACAAACGAACTCAATTTGTACAAAAGTCGATTGCTTGGGTACCTCTGTCCCATTTGTGTTTCAACCGTGAAGTAGTTGTGTTTGCATGGCTGTGTTTCATGAAGGGTGTGATATGGCGCGAATTTACTGGGTACGGAGGAATAACACCTGAGTCCTCAGGAATGGCAACACATGGGGGGTATCATGGGCGAAACAGTATACTCTGTTATATCCATGGTACTGCTCATGTCTATAGGCGACGGTTACCACTTTCCATCAGGTGGGCCGTCAGCTTGTTTGCCATTCTAAGTTGTATAAAAAATATATATAATATTAGTAAAGAATATGTTAAAATAACAATAAAGTGAATTTTTACACATTTAACTTCAGCTGCCCATTGTACCACCATTAACGGCGTTGCTGTATTACCTGAAATATTGAGTATTATATTTGGGAAGTACAATTTGATCGGCGGTGATACAGACACACAAGAAAGAAAGGTAATATATTTTTATGTATTTTAGAATATCAAATGGTTGACGATCTATTTGATGGGGTGTAATAACCGTAGATATAGATGTGAGCAGCACCTCAGATTTCTTACTTTTTTTTTATACCACTGAGGCGGCAAACAAGCATGCATACAAGCCCACCTGATGGTAAGCGGTTACCGTAGCCTATGAATGCCTGCAATACCAGAGGTATTACGCGCGCGTTGCCGACCCTGAAGAAATCTCTTTACCCCCCTTTTGAAGAACCCCATGCTGTAGTCTCTTGGGAAAACGTCGGCAGGGAGTTCATTCCATAACCTGAGTGTTCGTGGCGACCATTTAGGCTGTAAGGTACTTTGCCGTTCTTGAGATCTAAGGCGTTATACTTCTTTATTTGGTCATTTTATTGACATAAAAATAACATTAATACAAATGCAGGCATCTAAAACTAAAAACTGATGTGAGACATAAAAGTATCTTAAACAAAAAGGAATATGAGTAGGAAGATTAGTTCTGGTATATCTATTTTTTTTTTCATTAAGTAGCTATCTAAAAGGTAGTTATATCCTAAAATGTAGTAAAAAACCAATGCGTAATTTTATTTTAAATACCTATTGAGAGTAGAATATTTTTTGATACTCGAAAAAAAAAATCATGAAAAACTACCTCAAAGTAGGAGAGAGAAGACTTCATCCCAAAAAAACTCTTGTAAAACGAGCAAAGACAGCTTCGTAAATACGAGTAAAAGGATTAATATTAAAACGGATAGAATTTGTAAATATAATTTTACTATTTCATATTTCAGGCATCGAATATAATATTAAATTCCAACTATAAATAAGTAATATCCATTATGATATTTTAATAATCTGGTTTTGTCAATAATAAATATATGGGAGATATTATAGAACAAAAATGGGCTGTTGGAATTTTATGGTTTAAAAATTTTGTACTGTGGTAATTTGGTATGTTCGTAGTCAGAAATAGTTATTTCTTTTTAATTGATAATTGAATAGTTACACAGAAATACATATCGTACATAACATCATGTTTATAATATAAATACATGTTCATAATAACCTTCAACTTATGCTATCTCATAGTAATTCTTGATAATTTTCGATATTTTTCCTGTGAACACAACATTTATAACATGCTTTATATAATTACGAGCTAGTAATCAACTTCCAGCAGCGTTCCGAACCAATACGACATAATAACCTTTAAGAAAAGAGCATATTCCTTTTTAAAAGGCCGGCAGCACACCTGCAATGCCGCTGGTGTTGTGGGTGATCATGGGCGGCGGTAGTCACTTACCATCAGGTGAGCCGCATGCTCGTTTGCCCCTGTGTTGTAAAAAAAAAATAGCTATCTGGTCTAGCTTCACACAGATTTATTTTATTATAAAGTATTCAATTAGTTTATTAGTACAAAAATATAATTAATATATAGTTTACTCATTTTTATACAACTTAAAATGACAAACAAGTTAACGGCCCACCTGATGTAAAGTAGTAACCGTCGCCTATAGACATGAGCAGTATCATGGTCATAACAGAGTATACTGTTTCGCCCATAATACCCCCCATGCGTTGCCATTCCTGAGGACTCAGGTGTTATATGGTAAGTTAAGTGGTAACTGTCGCCTATAAACATGATCAGTACCATGGACATAACAGAGTTTACTGTTTCGCCACTGATACCTCTCATGCGTTGCTATTTCTGAGGATTAAGGTGTTATTCCTCTGTACCCAGTAAATTCACGCTATATCCCACCCTTTAAACCTAAACACAGCCATGAAATTACAACTGCTTCACGGCAGAACCATGAATGAGACAGAGGTGCTCAAGCAATCGATTTTTGTTAAATGCAGTTGGTATGGATGTCATCTTCCTGCCCTTATACTCTTTCATTCTTCTTTATTTGTAGTCCTTTCAGCATTCACACTTTTTCTACCCTATCTATATTTCTATTCATATTTTTTTTCCTAATAATAATAATACATAAAAATTATATATAATACATAACATACTTCAATTTATGGTAAGTTAATAAAGATACTTGTGTATGTTAAGTGATTAAGAGACTTGTGTAACACTTTGTTACAATGTTAGTAAAACTTACAAATTGTGACAAAGTGGCTTGTAAATTACGAATAGCTTAGAAAACGAGGCTGCTAGTTAGTAAGGAATATTGTCACAGATGTTATTATAGTCATGTATATAATTATGGATTCTAATAATAAAATCCCCGCTTTATCATAGAAAGATATAGTAGAAATGTCTTTTACATAGACAGCTGTCTATAGCTGTATTTCGTTCTGATAGGTGCAATAAAAATTTTATTTTGAAAAATTTTATGGTAGTGAAATTACTCGATAAGGAAACATAATATCTAACAATGGATGTCACAGTGTATTTTATTTTATGAAACAATAGTACTGTTCTTATTGGTGACGGTTTATCGATAAAAAAATTAAAACGAACTAAGAACTTCATTAGACGACGTACTTCAAATTGATACCACTTTTATAATTCCACTAGTGTTTTTATATTTACTTACAAATTAAATTTATAGTCTTTAAGCATTATATATAGGTGTTATGTCATTTTTTTTTTTTTTTTATAGAACTTAGAATGGCAAACAAGCTGACGGCCCACCTGATGGAAAGTGGTAACCGTCGCCTATAGACATGAGCAGTACCATGGACATAACAGAGTATACTGTTTCGCCCATGATACCCCCCATGTTGCCATTCCTGAGGACTCAGGTGTTATTCCTCTGTACCCAGTAAATTCACGCCATATCCCACCCTTCAAACCGAAACACAGCCATGCAAACACAACTGCTTCACGGTTGAAACACGAATGGGACAGAGGTAGGTGTCATATAGGAAGGTCAAGGATATAAATCAAAGATATGGAGGTCAAGGATAGGGATAGAGCTGGTTGGAAGAAGATGCATGAATTAGTTGCACTGACAAGAGGAAACTCTCAAATGAAAAAAGCATTATATTAAGAGATGCAAGAATGGTATATCAAAATTCAATTTTTTTTTCTTTTTTTAAATATACTATATGGCTTGTTTCCATCCATTACCACTCATATTCATTTGAAAATGGAATCTTCATCATTTTTTTAAACGATGAATACAATGGGGAGACCCAATGATAAATGAAGCGATGGGAATATTATTAGGCCAGTTGGCCAATGGTGGCAGGATTTCTAGGCGAGCCTCGTGAATGTCGACTTGACAGCAATGGAGGCTAATATTTCCATTAAAGCCAATTTCTTCCTATAAAACATTATTTCGAAATTATCTTTTCGAATATATCTGTGCACGCAAATGGTGTCTGAATGTGGGCAAATGCAGTTTTGATGGCTTGGTAAATGAAACTGAAATTTAATGAATTCACCTTCTGATTTAATTTCTCGTGACACACTACCAAGTTACTGACTGTACAATATCAAAATGCATTCTCTCTTTTCATTTAAGAGTTTCTTCTTGTCGGTGCAACTAATTCATACATCTTCTTCCAGCCAGCTCTATCCCAGGCCATATCCTTGACCTCCCTATATGACATGACACCTAGTGTTTCTTTTTTCTGTCCCGTGTAATTATTCCTCGGTCTTCCTCTTTTATCAAAATGCATTATAATTTTATAATTTATTGGTTAATTGAAATACAGTCGCAGAGACACGTTCGCTTTCTCGAATGGGAAACGGAAAAGAGTTGAATCATAGACAATCCTAGTTACATTTGTTACTGGATCATAGACTACTAGAAACTGAGTTTCTGCTCATTAAGAATAAATCATATTTGTTACTGCTAAATGTGAAAATGAGAGAGATAGACATGTTGAAACATATGATTTTGCGTAAACAGCATCTGACACTGAATTCAGTTAACAAATATTGGCCAAGGTGACAACTTATTCCCCGGTGCTAGGTTATTATAAATTTTACATCCTACATCATAATATTAAATAGCGACTGACACAAATAAAGCCTACCAATTATCTCAAATTTTCTAAACTTACCTTTTCAGATACACGAGATAATAGTGCACGCTGAGTTCAACCATAGAAAACTTCACAACGATATATCACTGTTGAAATTGAAGAGTGAAGTGACATTTAATGATTTCGTTCAACCGGCTTGCCTGTGGCATCTTAATGCTTACAAGAATTTACCATTTAGCACTGTTTACGGCGCTGTAAGTTTTTCTACTTTGAAATCTAGAAAAAATATCTATATATACTTTTAATATAAAGAAAAAAAGATTTGATTATTCGTTTGCTTCATCATCATCATCATTCCAGCCATTATCCGTCCACTGCTGGACATAAGCCTCCCCATAGACTGCCACAAGGAACGGTCCTGAGCCACCTGCAACCACTGACTTCCTGTAATGCATTTGTGGTCGTCACTCCATCAAGTCGGGGATGCCACTCAAGAACCCTCCTTCTCAGTTATTTATTTATTTGTAATGGATGTACTCAAAAACTATTAATCAATCAATCATTTTATTTGCTTAAATATAGGTATTTACATATACCAGGGAGAGACTTTGTACAAAAGTCGTTTACTTGGGTACTTCTGTTCTGTAAAGCAGTTGTGTTTGCATGGCTGTGTTTCGGTTTGAAGGGTGGGATATGGTAGTTAATTTACAGGGGACTCGTACAGAGGAATAACACCTGAGTCCTCAGGAATGGCAACGCATGGGGGGTATCATGGCATCATGGGCGAAACAGTATACTCTGTTATGTCCATGGTACTGCTCATGTCTATAGGCGACGGTTACTACTTTCCATCAGGTGGGCCATCAGTTTCAAAATCTTCCTCTGTTAAATGTACATCAAATATGACGATTGTTGAGTTGTTAAAGATATTAAAAGGTAACAAACAAACACACTTTCACATTTATAATATTAGTGAAGAATTAAAGATCAGATAAAATTAGTCTGATGTTGTTTGGGTACACACACACACATACATGAATATAAAACACAATTTGCATGCCAATTTCTTTTGCAAATTAAAAAATGTTATAAAGAAATAACAAAACCTATTTGACCTTTAGTTAATTTTCGGTTCGAAGATCTTGCTCAACATTTTTAGTAAGGAAAGTTTTAGTGAATTAGAAAAACAACATTACAGGTGGAATTTTCTAAAGGGAAGGGGATTTATCATCAATAAAACTTATTATTTAATAATTTTGTAATCTAAATTTGTAACATTACATATTTATAGGTAGAATAAATTATGAAGCACTCTTGATCTTCTTGTATGTAGGGGTATATATGTCACCTATTTGCATCTAAGCCTTTGATATTAGCTGCCTTTTCATTATTGAATTATTATTATTATTTCAACCGTTAACTGCCCACTGTTGGACATAAGCTTTCCCTATAAAGGGAATTTTAGCAATAGTTGCCATGTTTGGGGCTGGCAACCGCAGTTAGAAATTTTAAGAGGGAGGCTACTGGATATTTTTTGCCCTCCCTATTATTATTGCATATGGTTTAAGTAATGTACAAATAAGTGCATTGTTATAACTATCAGAAAATCCCCGAGATGAATCAATTTAATTGTATATAACTGACAATTGCTATTCTGTTTGAGTAAAATGGTTTCAGAAATCAGATCAAATTTTGGAATCAGAAATTGTCGCTAGATCCCGGCATAGAATTGGCACTTCTTTTATTATCGTAGGTGTCGTAAGAGGCAACTAAAGGAATTTAACGGTCGAAAGATGGACAGCAGCGTCCCTCTTTAAACACCACCAAAGTTTAACTGCGGTTTGCAATCCACCTGCCAAGCGTGAGAATTATTAGCAAAACTCTCCAATAAGAGAGGTTCTAAGTTTAATCGTGGACAGTTAAAAGCTGATACGATGAGGATGAATTGACAATTGCGTTTGATAGAATGAATTTGATCGTAAATTTATTTAAAGATGTTTGTATGAAAATCGACTTAATTCGAAACCACTTACAATTACTTTCAGGTTGTAGGCTGGGGATTTGATCACACAGACAAACTATCGCCTGAACTACGCCAAACCATAATACCAATGGTTAGTGATTCTAAATGTATAAAAAGCAACCCTGATTTTTTTGGAAAGATATTGAATAATCAAAAATTCTGCGCAGGTTATAGAAATGGTGAGTGTATTTAAAATATTTACTATTTTACTATTTATAATAAAAAAAAAAAATTAAGCGAACTCCTTTTAAAATATATTTTTTACAAAATCTCAAATTGTTAAATTATTTGGTATTATTTAGAGTTTGATGCAAAAGTTGCTATTCATGCTCTTTGTTGTTAGTGTTTTTGTTGTAAAATGATCATATTTACATAGTTGTGTTATGATAGTAAAATAAAATCTGAGGAACTTTTTGTTATAAAACTACTTGCGTGTACAATAAGCCACTATTGGTAATTAATTTACTTGATTCTTTATCCTCTATTTTGAGGTATATGATGTAAATTGCTGTCAAGCGTACATACAATAATTTGCGTTGATAGATGAATGTTTATTACTCTTTCACGCAAAACCTACTGGATAGATTTGAATAAATACAGATAGGTTATATCCTAACTAAGACAGGATACTCTATAAATTGCTTTGATCAGGCGAAGTCACGATATATAGCTAGTAATAAATACATAAATAATTATGCCATTTCAGGTACATCAGCATGCAATGGCGATAGTGGTGGTGGATTCGTAATATTCGTACCTGATATACAAGGGGATTACTCTGCAAATGCAACGGGCTCTTGGTTCGTTCGAGGAATAGTGTCATTGGCCATTGCTAGACGAGATGCTGCAATATGTGACAATACAGAATACACCTTGTTCACAGATATTGCTAAATATGGCGAATGGATAGAAAATCATATGTCATAAATAATATTCATGAATGAAGACTGTGATTATTATATAATTATAATACGTTTTTTTTTTTATATTTAGACAACAAAATTATGTTGAATTTGTAGCCTATATCATTTTCCAACTCAAATACTATATGGTTTTTTTATGCAACTTTGAACGGCAAACAAGTTGATGGCCCACCTGATGGAAAGTGGTAACCGTCGCCTATAGACATGAAGTACCATGGACATAACAGAGTATAATGTTTCGCCCATGATACCCCCATGCGTTGCCATTCCTAAGGACTCAGATGTTATTCCTCTGTACCCAGTAAATTCACGCCATATCCCACCCTTCAAACCGAAATACGGCCATGCAAACACAACTGCTTCACGGTAAAAACACGAATGGGACAAAGACAAAGAGGTACCCAAGCAATCGACTTTTGTACAAAGTCTCCCTCTGGTAAGGTTAATATGATGGACGATTTTGATGAATAAAACAGCAAAATTTTTTATTACTTTTTATTAAAAACTTAAAACCAAAAAGTACCTAATTACATATATCACATATTTACATTGTCCATAAAAATGTGTATACAAAGTCAATAAAGTAAATTACGATATATTTACAGCAATAGATCTCATGAAGTACACTAAAAGCAAAAGTAATTTCAATTCATTATAATAAAATTCATATAATAGTGGAAGTTGTACCTATATATATATATATATATATATATATATATATATATATACGGAGAAATAACTACATATATATATATATATGAAATATAATATATATATATATATATATATATATATATATATATATATATATATATATATATATATATATATACAAATATATGACAATCTTGATATTTGACTGTACACATCGTTTCACTTTCGGACGATTCGAATCTTGCACTGTACAAACATTCTGTATTGTTTGTATTGGTCCGAGCATTTTATATGTATTTACAAAAACAAGTATATATAAAAATTGTCTAATATATTACAAGCTCTTCTTGGTTCGATACTTAAAAGAGATTGAATGCTATTTATATATCCATCTATTTACTTACATTTACGTTAATATTTTTCTCTGCTTCGTCTTAAAAGCTCTGGCATAAGTATAAATAAAAGTATATATTCGTATGATTGGGAAACTTATTTATTGTCAGTAAGCGTTTCAAATAAAATTTTAATATAAAATTAAATAATAATTAAAGCAATAAATTGATATTTTAATTCCATTCAATGCATTATTAATTTATATTCCAGTATAAGGTACATAGACTCAGTATTGTTTTGGTCCTTCAAGTCGGATCTTATTTGGTCCTTCGAGTCGGATCGTGAGTGAGCTATCTATAGGTACTTACATGAATGTATGAAACGTATTTATTATCTACTTACCTATAAAGTTAAATGATACATTTAAACATATAAACATTTAAGAATATACTGTGTTATCACTCCTTGTCTCCAGGATATAGTAATAGTTATTTAAAAGAATAAAGCACTTTACATAAATGCAATTAAGAGAAAGCTTGAAATAAAACCCTGAACCAATCCAGACGGGCAGTTTGCTAATAATAAACTAATATTTATTTATTTTTACTTACACAGCGTAAAAGGCTTTAATATTTTTAACTCTATTATAAATCATCATAATAAATTCCCATCATAAAGAATTTGTTCCTATTTTTTTGCTACACGAAAAAAAAATCTGCTACAATCGTGGCAAAATTAGTCTATTCTGATTAAAAAACTATTTGACTTTATTCACGTTCCTAAAATTTGTTAATTTTATTTATTGAAGCAGATAATTCGAGGTAAAATGAAATTTCAATTTATTAATATCTTCGCTATTTGAATGCATCTTGTAAATATATTTTATTATAAAATATATCGTATTTTCTATCACGTCTTTCAAGAAATAATAAGGTACATAAACTCTGAGTATTGGTTTTTAAAGCTACGCTTTGTGAGTAGGTATTTTTTAATATCATTAAGTTTTAAAATCATCAGTATTTTTTTTTTATTTTAGAAAAATAAAATTCTCGTGTATCTGATTTAATATTATGTTACTACGGAATATAAAGGTTGGAGTCCATAATAATTCTAGATCCTCACGCCACGAGATCTGGCAATTCGCGAGATAATTACGTCTTGTGTTGCCAACGGTCACCAATAACGGCCGCTTATCAGGCGAGCCGTATGCTTGATTGCCATTAAAAGCAGGTTCATAATATTTAATATAACAAAAAAAGAAATCTTTTGTATGTAACGTAAAATCCTTCTCATCCTTTTGTTTAATATTTTAAGAGGCGATAAGTAAAACAATGTCTTTCGAAGAACAAGGGAAGTGAAGGAAGCCGCGATAATAAACTATACTAAGCTTGGTAACCAGTAATAATAGCTTAATCCTTCTCTTTTAATTGAGAGAGGAAGATGTCCAATAGTGGTATGTTAATAGCATGTCATATTTGAGAAAATAGAAAAAAAAATACCAAAAATATCATGATACGCTTATGCGTTGCCATTCCTGAGGACTCAGATGTTATTCCTCTGTACCCTGTAAATTCACGCCACATCCCACCCTTCAAACCGAAACACAGCCATGCAAACACAACTGTTTCACGGTAGAAACACGAATAGGACAGAGGTGCCCAAGCAATCGACTTTTGTACAAAGTCTAAATTTATTTCTTAACCTCACATTTTAATTTGTTAATTTCACGAAATTACTGTTTTATGGACCAACATTAATTAAAATTATAACAATTTTTACTTAAATCTAAATTACTTTATATTAGTTCTTATAATGTTTGTGCTGTGATATTGAATTGAAATTTTTAGAGATAGGATTTAGAGGAGTGGCCTCTCAATATTGAACCTAATGTTATTTAAATAAGGTTCGATTCTGAGAGTAGTCTCCGCATCGAATGACAAAATATGACTTACTGCATACATTCTCGAATATGTGTAAACGACAAAAATTTAATTATGTCATAAAAGTGCAAATATTATGTATTAGACCAATACGTTTTTGTTATATTTATTCAACAATCTCAGTATGTTTGTTCATTGACATAACAAAGTATGTACGTAATCTGTAAAATGTTAGGATAATAATTAAAGACTGTGTCCCAAAAAAAGGATCGATCAATTTCAATTGTGACAAAACAAGTCATTTTGGTCTAACAATAAACTATTGGACCGATTTTGATGAAACTTTATGGGACTAATTCAAATTCAAATGTTATTTATTCAAATATACTTTTTTACAAGCACTTTTAAAACGTCATTTTTTTTATCTACTGCACGGTTCGGAAGGTTGTTATCTGTTGTGAAAAGTCCGCAAATAATCATATAATCTGTAAGTATACCCCTTGAGATAAAAAAGAAATTCCAAAATCAGTTTAGAACTGACGGAATTACGAGGTAACAAACATAAGAAAAAATACAACCGAATTGAAAGCCCCTTATTTTTTTAAGTCGGTTAAAAAAAGATTTGTCTTAAATGACCATTTTTGTCAGTAATATATTCTTTGTTTTTAAGCATCTAATTATTAAAAAAAAATACATATTAAAATGGTTATCAAATATGGTAACAAGAACCAAGATATATATTAATTTGTGTTTTAAATAACACAATAGTTTGTTTAAATATAATTTAATAAAAAAAAATAATGAAGTTTTGTTAAAACTAAAAAAGAAGTTTAGAAAGCCTTTCTAAATGAAATTAAAAAAGAATCAGCGTATTCAATTAATTAATCAATATTCAAAAATTAATAATCTGTCTTTTGCTCTGGTCAATTATTTGTTTGTTTATATTTTTGTTAACTTCTATTAAAATATACCTACTATAATCAGTATTACATAAGAAACACTAGCCCTTGGACTACTTTATGTTCTTTTCAGCAAATGTTGTCGATAATGAGACCCTGTGTATGCTGTCTCGTTCTATCTCATGCGCGCAACAGCGTAAACGTATCTACAATCAAATTCCTTTTAACTAGTTTGGATGAGTTATAATGAAACCACTTTGTGATGATTACGTCAATGCATTAATATCCCACTGCTGGTCATAGATTTATCTGTACTTCTAATACTGATTACAAATTAGATATGAGTGGAAACTGTAGAAACAGAAACTGTGGATATACCAGGTTTGACTTGATTGGCATTGATATCATCCTGGTCCTTCCTAGGTCTTCTCTTCGGTCCTAGAAGGAGTTTTTGCAGTTGGCAAGCTGGAGCCTCGACAAGTAGGTAGAGGGGAAGAGCGCACAGGTATGTCGTGCACACGATTCCAGCGAACAGCATAATCTGAATGAAAAAATTAGAAAAGAATGTGAGTGAGTAATTTTGCTCTATATAAGCGAACACACACACATACACGTACACGCACGTTCACGTACACGCACGTGTACGCGCACGCGTGCACACATATTTAATTACTGACCCACGAACGCACACATGCACGCACCTCATGGATGCACAGCCATAAACAATGTGTTGTTGACAATAAATTGACAAAAAATTTAAAAAAAGAACGCCAAATCTCGTATCTATAAGAAGTTTTTCTTTCAATCGCCAGAAAATGAACGCTAGAATATTTTTGGGGTTAAAATGAAATTAGACCCTTTCAATTGAAAAAGGAATAAATCTGTCTAGAATCGGCAATATAATCATATAATATGGTCACAAAAAAAAAAAAAATAGCTTGTGGACGAAATAGCATCATATGTATTTACAAAAAAAAAAAAAACTTATACTTACAGCTGTATAGTCTGTAGCGTAGAAAGATCTCCTCATCTGACCACCATAAGTTCTCAAGACGGTGGCGTGGAGCAACATAGCGCAGTATGACAGCCTACCGAGGGGCTGTAAGGGGCCCCATTCAGTAGCACCCACGTAGACTTCTGTAGAAACAAAATAAAAATGCTTATATTTTTCAATGATATTTGGAATAGCAAAAAACATGGATAGACTGTGTGAAAGATAATTATGGCTTGAATGGGAGTGAATGCAAAAATGACTGTGAATGAAGAAAAAAAGAAGATTTTTGGTTTTATATATATATATATATATATATATATATATATATATATATATATATATATATATATATATATATTTTTATGTAACTCGGTAGATAGGGTTGTTCATAGAGGACTTATCTTGTTTTACCATCCATTGTTATGTACTGTTACCTATGTATCACAAAATAATTAAATGAAATGAAATATTTTACGCCGATTCCAAACAAAAATTGATTTAAGGGTAGGTAGATTATGATTCAGAATGGCAAATAAGCTGACGGTCCACCTGATAGAAAGTGGCGACCGTCGTTTTTAAACATAAATAGCACAGAGACTTCAAAATACTGTTTATGTCCATGATACCCCCATGGGTTGTCATTCTGAGAACTCATGATGTTATTCCTCTGTACCTGTAATTCACTGGCAGCTTCAATATCTATTCAAGCACTGCTATTTCAGAATCGTGTGTGGAAACACAGCCATGTAAAACACAACTGCTTCACGTAAAGAAACACAGAATTGTATGGACAGTTTGAGTCTAGTCAATCGTTTACTTTGTAATTTTTTGGAGGAAACAATAAAAAGTCTATCCCTCAATCTTCATTTATCATCATATGTGTTAACATTATCTCTCTAGGAGGGTCTTGCCAATATTTGCTACGTTTGCCAGGCGGGTTGGCAACCACAGATAGGTTTTTGGTGATGTTTTTTTTTTTTCTTATATATAGGAGCCTACGGGGAAGGTACATTCTCTGCCGAGATCACACGGCCATCTTTTTTAGTCTAACTTTAATTCTGTATTAATATTTTTCAAGTAAATATAAAAAAAACTGGTTTGAAAAGAGTAATTGCTAAGTTTTTTGCCGGATATTTCTTGGCAGTAGAATTATAAAACAGTAATATTTTTAAAGAGCGTGTATAAAGCCTTTTTAAATAAAGTTGATTTATTTTACAACAAATACACTAACGTTGACCCCAAATTTATATAAGAGAAAGGCGAAAAGAAGAAAGATATATTGAAATTTTTTTCTAAAAAAAATGTTTTATTAACTTCTGAGCATTATTATTGACAATGTTGCTGTAGTTTTCAATAGTATTTTTTTGTTTAATTTTGTTTATATTTGTTTAATTTTGTTTATATTTGTTTAATTTTGTTTATTTTTTTACTTTTTTTTTTTATATTTGATTTAATCGTTCGTCGTTTAATTTAGTATTGTCTCATCTTGTGTTTCGTTTACTTATATTTTATTTTGTGCAAATTCTAGTGGCTGCCAAATTACTATTTAAGTATATAATTATGTATTGTTTTAGCTGTTTGTTTGCTTTAAATAAATAAATAAAAAAAAATTACTTACTGATACACCTGTAGAAGCATCCAACGATGAAAATGCACATGGCCAAAGCGAAGAAGTTTTGGTTCAAAGCGTTGAACACGGCCGCTTCAAAGGTAGAAGCAATACGGTGATGGAGGTCCCAACCCATCAGCACTGTTCCCAGCGCTACAGGTACTGATATTAGGGTCAGCAGCTTATAAAGCTGAAAATGATTATGTAACAATTTATTCAATCAATGAATTTCATTATTCGATTGATGGGTAAAATAGTCATTGATATAAAAAAGTCTAGATGCACACATAGAGAATAAAGAAACAATGTTGAATATAGAACGCATTTTATTAAATTTTGCACTCATGGGACAGAGATACCCAAGCAATCGACTTTTATACAAAGTCTCCCTCTGGTAAATTTAATTAGACCTCATTACTAACAATCCCTTTCACCCCTGTTGTAATGATTTGTACCCACAATACGTACGTTCTATATATTTTATTTTGCGCATAGCTTAAATATCTCAATGTAGGTAAGATAATTATGAACTTACTCGGGATTCAGCCAAATTCCATTTCTCAGTCTGTGCCCTGTGATAGAAGTACGCTGTCAGTACGCCAAGGTGGTAGCCAGTCCAGTTGCCCTGTGCTGATACATACGCGTAGTAGAACGTGTCGTTGTATCCAAAAATGTTCCTTATTGATCTGGACAATTGAAATGTTCACTCAGTTTTTTTTTTTAATGGGTGATAATGGAATAGTAACCCCGCCCGCGCTATCGGTATACACCGGTGGGGCACCAATGAAGGATGATAGATGAGGATGACGCATGTCAGTTAGCCCATTGTGACGAATTCAACAAGAATTGTTCACGATGGTTTCCAGGGGGAACCACGTGGAGGTCGACCTGATAGTGTATTGCTAGCAATGGGTTCATTAGACCCCATTACTAACGATCCCTTCCCCCCATGTTTACTCAGTTTCATGGATGTAAAAAAAGGTCAAGATACACAATCAGACACTAAAATGAACGACTAAAAAATAGAGGGCGTTTAATCAAATTGTGCACGCATTTAGAGATATCCAGTGGTATTTGTAATCGAACTTTTTTATACTATTGTGGTGAGAAATACAGTCATATTGTGCGTTTGTGGTACTGCTCATGTCTATAGGCGACGGCTACCACTTTCCATCAGGTGGGCCGTCAGCTTGTTTGCCATTCTAATTTGTATAAAAAAATTGCATAAAAATACAGTCTATGAATATCTTTTTTTTTTATACAACTTAGAATGGCAAACAAGCTGACGGTCCACTTGATGGATAGTGGTAACAGTCGCCTAATAGACATGGGCAATACCATGGACATAACAGAGTATACTGTTTCGCCCATGATACTCCCCATGCGTTGCCATTCCTGAGGACTCAGGTGTTATTCCTCTGTACCCTGTAAATTCATGTCATATCCCACCCTTCTAACTGAAACACAGCCATGCAAACACAACTGCTGCACGGTAGAAACACGAATGGGACAGAGGTACCCAAGCAATCGACTTTTGTACAAAGTCTCCCTCTGGTGAATATCTCTGGTACTAGGGGTGTCAGGCACTATTTTTTTATATTCTTATTTTTGTTATAATTAATATCGAAATTTGGAGATACCACAGCGCCATTGGAATTTTATAAAAGTGTATACTTTAGAATTTTTATTTTCATGCAACTGGGAACATAAAAAAAAACGAATCGTAATCGTCTAGCTGAACACCATTATGGGCGTCGTAAAATATACTGTGACGCCAACCACTTATACATTGTTATTTCTGAGGATAATGTGTTATATTACGTGTTACACTTCCGTACCCTGTAATTTTACTGTCATATACTTCAAATGACATGAAATATGAGTAAGACAGAAGTACCCATGCTAACGACTTTGTCATAAAAAGTGAATTAAAGAAAAGAAAAAAAAAAATGTTTATTTATATTATGAATGTGAAAGTGTGTTTGTTTGTTACTTCATAAAGCCTTAAAGGCTTAATCAATCACCATGACATTTTGTATACACGAATAACATGGAGTGAAGAAAGATACAGACTATTTCGTATCCTGGTTACGTGGGCGAAATCGCGAGCTAGTATAAAATAGTAAATATTCGTGTTTCAACCGTGAAGCAGGTGTGTTTGCATGGCCGTGTTTCGGTTTGAAGGGTGGGATATGGCGTGAAGTTACTGGGTACAGAGGAATAACACCTGAGTCCTCAGGAATGGCAACGCATGGGGGGTATCATGGGCGAAACAGTATACTCTGTTATGTCCATGGTACTGCTCATGTTTATAGGCGACGGTTACCACTTTCCATCAGGTGGGCCGTCAGCTTGTTTGCCATTCTAAGTTGTATAAAAAAAAAATGATAAAATTATTTACAGACAGAGACTGAGAGCTGGTTAATGGATTGGCCTCATCATATATTGACAAGATTTAAATCTGACATCCAAACAGCAGATTGGATTATTGTTCTATAAGGAACAGAGGGCCTACCACGAAATGTTTTTCGAAATTTCGGAGCCAAACGAAACACGAATTTGATGTTAAAATTACATAATACATGCCGTTTGGAAATATTAAAAATGTTAAAATATTGTTCCTTTGGACTTTTGTGATAGGATGTATGACGAACGAAAAAAAAAAAGATTAAATTAGTCGTATAAATTCATTTACAATTTAAATTCATTTATATTTTTTTTTTCTTGCCATCAAGCGTGAGTGTAATCGTATATTTCTTTACTATGGTTCTTTTAAAAAAAAAATACTTACTCCGGAAAGATGCCAACCCTGATTGGCAGTAAATCCATGAAATAGCTCTGCAAGAATGGTATCAGCAAACTGACGACCAGCACAATGCTCAGCACCGGAACTCCGCTCTTAGGCCATCTCCAGATGATAAGCATCATCACTAAGGTGATGAGAAACAGTTGGGTATCAGTTCCAAGGTACCTGAAAAGAACAGAATACATATATTGATCCGTAAAATAACTAACTTCTATTTTGATAAAACCAGTTATTTAGTTTTGTAAACTTTATGAACCAGAGGGAGACTGTACAAAAGTCGATTGCTTGGGTACCTCTATCCCATTCGTGTTTCAACCGTGAAGCAGTTGTGTTTGCATGGCTGTGTTTCGGTTTGAAGGGTGGGATATGGTGTGAATTTACTGGGTACAGAGGAATAACACCTGAGTCCTCAGGAATGGCAACGCATGGGGGGTATCATGGGCGAAACAGTATACTCTGTTATGTCCATGGTGCTGCTCATGTCTATAGGCGACGGCTACCACTTTCCATCAGGTGGGCCGTCAGCTTGTTTGCCATTCTAAATTGTATAAAAAAAAACAAATAAATACAACAGAATTTAGTACCTCCTTCTGAAGTCTATTGGAAAAGACTACAATAGTCTATATACTGTTAAACGGTGACATGTTTTTTAACTACCCTACATTATAAATAATGCTGTGTGGCCCCGGTATAGAATAGGCCATCCCTTCCTTTCCCGTGGGTGTCGTAAAAGTCGACTAAGGGAAGGCGAGGGATGAGCAGCAGCGTCCCTCTTAAAACATTCCTAAAGCCTAACTGCGGTTACCAACCCGTCTGCCAAGCAACCCTTCAAACCGAAATACAGCCATGCAAACACAACTGCTTCAAGGTAGAAACACAAATGGTACAGAGGTGCCCGAGCAAATGATTTTTGTACAGTCTCCCTCTGGTGAAAGGTATTTAAGAAAAATGATATGAGGGTTATATATTTATAATATATAATAGAGGAATAATACCCGAGTCCTCAGGAACGGCAACGCATGGGGGGTATCATGGGCGAAACAGTATACTCTGTTATGTCCATGGTACTGCTCATGTCTATAGGCGATGGTTACCACTTTCTATCAGGTGGGCCGTCAGCTTGTTTGCCATTCAAAGTTGTATAAAAACATTATTATAATTATATGATTAATATGAGAGGTCTTAATAAGAGAAATAGATGTCAAAACAAAATCTTTTCGACAGGTCGTCGTAGTTAGGTCGTCTGTCTGACCGTTCCGGTACTACGCAAACACTACAGTCGATAAATATTTGTACCTACCTCATCAAGACTTAAGTATATTTATTTACTTTTATTTGCAACTAGCTTTTACCCGCGGCTTCGTTCGACCGCAATACCTTTACTGACTGGTATATAAATAGAGTGTACTGTTCTTCATCCCATGTATGTATCTCATTTCATAGTGATTGGCCAATCCATTAAGGCTCTAAAAGGTTATTATATAAACTAATTTTTACAATATAACTAACATTAAGTAAGGTTGTAATCATGAGTACCCCGTATGAGCAATTGGAGTATTGAACGACCCCCCCATTAGATGGAGTGACGACCTCAAATGCATTGCAGGGAGTCAGTGGATGCAGGTGGCTCAGGAACGTTCTTAATGGCAGTCTATAGGGGAGGCCTATGTTCAGCAGTGGACGGATAATGACTGGCATGATGAAGTATGTTTTACTTATATATATACATATATATATATATATATATATATATATATATATATATATATATATATATAAAAGTATATATATTTCATCGTGCCTCCCACTAAATTGTTTATAATTACTCCTCTCCATCTAAAGGTTGCTTGGAAAAGATCGCTCTTAGCGATAAGGTCGCGCATTGTTTTCTCACTGTGATTATTTCTTGTAATTGTTTATATTTATAATAAGTTTACTATTGTAATCTTTTGGAGGAAACAATAAAGGGTATCTATCTATCTATCTATACCATCATTATCATTTAAACTTTTAACTCTCCAGTGCTAAATATAAGTCTCTCCCTAGGAAGGTTTTGCCAGTAGTTGCCATAATTAGCAAGCGGATTGGCGACCGTAGTTTAAAGATGTTTTAAGAGGGACGCTGCTGCCCATCCCTGGCACTGCCTTAGTTTTCTCTTACGACACCCACGGTAAAGGTAGGGGTGGCCTATTCTATGCCGGGACCACTCCCTTATATATTCGTACATTCTGTTTGTAACACAAAATTAAACTTCGGTATTTAACAGTGTTTATTGTTGAGAAATATGCACTTTAAAGGTAAAGGAAACGCATTTGTGTCAATAAATGATAGTGTTAGGGCTGTCACTAACAAATGTTTTTAGTTCATATGAGACAGAAGCCGATGATCTATGGCAGTGAATTTACAGGGTACAGAGGAATAACACTTGAGTCCTCAGGAATGGCAACGCATGGGGGGTATCATGGGTGAAACAGTATACGCTGTTATGTCCATGGTACTGCTCATGTCTATAGGCGACGGTTACCACTTTCTATCAGGTGGGCCATCTGATTGTTTGCCATTCTAAGTTGCATAAAAAAATACGTGCTAGCGCACACACACATACACACGTGTGCTCACACAAATACACTGGATTTGATATCATGATCATATCGGCCGTTAAATGTGAACTTTTGAACATGGGTCTCTTCCATGGGGGAAGGGGGGGGGGGGTTGCTAGTAATTGCCACGCTTGGCAGGAAGATTGACAACAGCAGGCTTTTAGAGGTGTTTTAAGAGAGACACCGTTGCCTATCCTTCAATAATTAAGTTCCCTTAGTCACCTCTTATATATATACCCATTGGTAAGAAATGGGTGGTCCATTCTATGCCAGGACCATATGGCCAATTGGAATTGATATACTCTTTTTTAATTAAATTTCTTAATAAGATATTAATTACAAATTTTATTTATTTATTTGTTTATTTAATGAGACATAATAAAATTATACGATATATTATAGAACAAAAGTATGGGAAATGGGAAACAAGTTCACATAATATAAAAATCTTAAATATATTTAATACAATAAGTTCACCCTCATGACACATGGTCGCGTTGGTTTCAGATATGTTTCCTACGAAATAAGGTTGTGGAATGAGCTCCCTGCCGAGGTTTTCCCAAGAGACTACAGCATGGGGTTCTTCAAAAGGGGGGTAAAGAGGTTTCTTCAGGGTCGGCAACGAGCGCGTAATACCTCTGGTATTGCAGGTGTTCATAGGCTACGGTAACCACTTACCATCAGGTGGGTGTATGCTTGTTTGCCACCTTAATAGTATAATAAAATCTCTACTGAATAATTAAAGTATTGTTTTACTCCAGTCCATAAACGTTCGTTAATTCCATTGCATTGGCCAATATTAAAATCCAAAATGTAGCGAAAGTTAAAGTTTGCGTTAATGCTTAAGAAACCGAAATATTTTTAAAGTTTAATAAGTTTTATTCTAGAGTTTTTGATAGTTCACTGCCACCGTAAATCGGTTTAGAAAGTGTAATTGAGCTGGGTTTGAGAATATATAAAATATTAAAAGTTCTAAAATAAATTTGCATTTATAGCGAGTGACAACCCTATACATTTGCACGTACACAGAAATATTGCTACTGCAATCATTGCCTGCAATAGCTGTGAAATTGTAGGTTCATGATGGAATACGTTGTAAGGAGGTCATTGGCCTTTGATCATCCTTTTCAACTAAAGTGATCATTAATATTCGAGGAGTGACGACCTCAAATGCATTGCAGGGAGTCAGTATATGCAGGTGGCTCTGGACCGTTCTTTATGACAGTCTATGGTGGGGGCCTATGTCCAGCAGTGGACGGATAATGGATGAACTGGTGATGATGATGATGATGATCATTAATATCTTCGACTTTGATTCTTGAATGTATACGTTATAACCAGACTGTAAAAGAATAAGTGGATATGGTACCACATAAGATCGTCTTCAATCGTGGAAAAACCAATCTTCGATAAACGAGTAAACTATATGGTTTAAATTTATTTATTTACTAACGACCTGTCCCGACTTCGCAGGAGTAGATAGAATTATCGAAAATCAATATGTATGACAAAAAAAGTTTCTGTCCATTCAACTAATCGGTAATTTTATAGCATTTTATATATGTTTTTTTAGACTGGTATAACTTTTTGATTTATGACTCGATTGAAATAAAACAAACACTAAATGTTAAGTGGAGCAAACCGCAATCAAATCTATTAAGCCAATTCTGAGATTAAGGCGTACAAACGTACAGAAAATCAGACATACATACAGACAAACAGAGAAAAATTTAAAAAATAATTCTTTTGGGTTTAATTGCGTTCATAAAGCTTTCCTATAATAGTTTTTCTTATATATCTTCCATGTACAGACAGCGACAGAGTTAATATTTTTCTAGCAAAATTCTATGCAATAATAAAATATAATAGATTTAGTTTAAATAAAAAAAAAAAACCAGTTATTTTGATTAAAAAAAAGAAAAATTTATCACATCGGTTTATAAATTACTGAAATTCTGAGGTAACAAACATAAAAAAATTTCCAAACGTATCGAGAACCTTCTTTTCATTTGAAGTTAGTTAAAAAACAAACGAATAAAGCACTGAAATAAGACGAAATGTCCTCAATTCCCCCGTCTGTTTGACCAAACGTCGTTATGACAATGTGGCCATGCACGAGATCTTTCGAAACTTATTGCAAAAATTAAGATGACATCGTAGTGGGCTATTCAAATAATCATTATAAACGAAACCAAGGTTTGTGTGCTGTGGTTGTTTAAATATACACATACACACACACACACACATTTACACCTGTGATAGGTTCGTAATCATCAAATATCTACACATTGATTACGTAAATGGTACACGAACTAAGGAATTTTATGTTTGGAATGCCCTAATCTGGTTTGCCAGGGGAAAGAGATTGTGACGTAATGGGTTCGAACTGACCCATTGCTAGCAATACACCCTATCAAGTTGACCTCCACGCAGTTCCCCCTCGTGGTTAATTCTAGTGGAATTCATCATGATGGGCTAATTGACCTGCTTTCATCGTCTTCTATCATCCCTCACTGGTGCGTATACTGTTGGCTCAGGCGGGGTTATAATTTCTTTATCAGCCATTTAAAAAGAGACCGGGTTTGCTAGGTGCGAATTTCTTTCCAAATTTATACGAGTCTTTTCACGCACAGTTTTTGGAGTCAGTTAATGAAAGACAAAAAGAAAAGTACGCTCTTTACTCACCAAGCCTGCGGTAGACACAAATGCTCGAACGGGAACAAATTTGGCATCAATATAACCAACTGCCACCAATTGCTTCTACACATGTCGCGCTCACGCTTGACCACGGCGTCCCACATGGGCCCGGAGCCCATATGTGGTACCCAGGTCATAGCAAGTCCCATCACTACTAGCACAGCGGGAATTAATCTGAAATATAAACAGAGTATTTGAATACACACACACACACACACACACACACACACACACACACACACACACACATACACACACACAGTTTCTTAAATACCTTATCATCATCATTATTAACATATCAGCCTTAAACTGTTCACTGCTGAACATAAGCCTCCCCCTTGGGGGAGGGGGGAGGGGGAATTGCTAGTAGTTGCCACGTTTAGCAGGCGGATTGGCAACCGCAGTTAGGCTTTGAAGGTGTTTTAAGAGGGACGCTGCTGCCCATTCCTTGCCCTCCCTTAGTTGCCTTTTACGACACCCACGGGAAAGGAAGCGGTGGCCTATTCTATGCCGGGTTACCTTACGTGAATAATGCAAGCTAAATTCAAAAATTTAGAAAGAGAAATAATATATTAGATTCAATTAAAATTAAAATTAATATGACATGGAAATAAACCCTATAAATTGTAATATTGTAAAAAACCAGTTAAAAATTGCTGAAGTAAGTAGTTATAAAAATATAGTGGCAAAAAAAAAGAAAAACAAAAATTCTGGCTTCTTCATTGAAAGACGCTTAAAAATAAATTTGCAGAGTTCTTTTGGTCTGAAAGGTCTTTGGGTCTAAGAGACCAATTAGCGAGAGTTTATATGTTAAAAGAATTTTATAGCATACCTAACTATTTCCCGCGACTTTGTGTGTAAATATAAAGTACCTCGTTTGTGTAGTGTAACTCTTTAAAATCAGCCATTTAAAAGTAATTCAATAATAAAAAATACACATCAATACAAACATACAGTACAATGCAATAAGTTGGGATTGTTAGTGATGGAGACTGAGAATCCCATTGCTAGCAATATAGCCAACCAGGTCGACCTTCTCGCGGTTCTCCCTGGAAAATATCATGGTTAATTCCTGATGAATTCATCATGATGGGCTAACTGGCCTGTTTTCATTCTCATCTATCACCCTTCACTGGTGCTCTGCCAGCGTATACCGTTAGCGCAGGCCATACCATACCATTTTCACCCATCAAAAAAAAATGCAATATGTTGTTAAAAATTAAATTAATATATGTAAATTCGGTGAACAACTTTTTTTAATGGATGACAATGAAATGGTAACCCTGCCTACGCTAACGGTGTACACTGGCGGGGCACCAGTGAGGAATGATAGACAAGAATGAAAAAGCAGGTCAGTTAGTCCATCGTGATAATTGCACCTGGAAATCAGCACGATAGTTTCCAGAGGGGACCGCGTGGAGGTCGATCTAATAAGGTATATTGCTTGCAATGGGACTAGTAGTCCTCATTACTAACAGTTCCTTCCTCCCCCCATGATGTTTTTTATTTATACAACTTAGAATGGCAAACAGGCTGACGGCCCACCTGATGGAAAGTGGTAACCGTCGCCTATAGACATAAGCAGTATCATGGACATAACAGAGTATACTTGACGTGGCTTGGACATCTTGTAAACTTGACAAATGCAACATTATATCTATTTATATATGTATATAAATTTTATTTTATTACATTACAAATTTATAATGTTAGTAGGAAGAAGCCAGTGTGAATTTAAATATCTTTTAACTTCAATTACTAGACTTATAAATTGTTATTTCTCGATTACTCTATTACCTCCACAGTCATTATTGTAATTGAAGCCCATATGTAATTTATTACATTAAAAATTAATGGAATCCTAGACAATTTTATAATAAATTGCCTTCTAACAACATCTGCGAATGTCCTTGATGTCAAGTTTATTCATTTAGAGATAATAATCTCGGTGCATTTGTGATTACGAAGCTCCAAAATACATTTATAATATTATGTTTATCATCATCATATCAGCCGTTAATTGTCCACTGCTGGACATAGGCCTATGGGAAATAAGTAAGTAAAATATTCAATATTTAATCCAATGTTTAAACGTCTACATATTTAAAAAGAATGACAATTTTCAATTTATTTTGCGCGCGCAACCTCGCATGCGCTCTGTTATTCATTATTTATTTTTCTACAGAAACTCAAAAGGTTTAGTTATATATAAAGGTTTGTTATATATACAATATATATACGCCACAAGCCTCTACTTCGGGGAGGGGGGATTTGTCAGTAGTTGCCATGCTCGGCAGGCAGCAGGCAACCGCAGTTAGATTTTGGAGATTCTTTTCTACAACACAGAGGGCAAACGAGCATGCGGCTCACCCGATGGTAAGTGACTACCGCCGCCCATAATCACCCACAACACTAACGGCATTGCAGGTGTGCTGCCGGCCTTTTAAAAAGGAATATGCTCTTTTTTTGAGAGTTATGTTGTTGTATCGGTTCGGAAATACTGTTGTTGGAAGTTGATTCCAAGAAGTGGTTGTGCTGAGATGTTTTAAAAGGGATGCTGCTGCCGATCCCTCGGCCATTAAGTTTCCTTAGTCACCTCTTACGTCACCCAAACGTCAAACACCATGTTATACCCGTAATACTTGGGACTCCCGAAGAAGAAGATGCTAAGTCTAGGTATTCAGATATTTCACGAAAAAAGCACGTCTGGGAGTCATTCTCACACATACACTTTACAGACTTTCACAGAAAACTTAGCTATTGTTTTGAGGATAATTAAGAATTCTTACCTGACCCATCTGTTAATTAGAGCCATAGGAACAGTCTTCAATGTAAATGGATGTGTTTCAGCGTACACGAACATCTTGTACGCCATGAGGAATCCACCCATTACGAAGAAGATCTGGACTATCACACGGGCATTGAACAGGAGAGCTTTGAAGAAGTCGTCGTAGGACTGTAAGAGAAAGAATCAGCATTTAGAATCAGTAGTTAGCTGATTATCGAATAAAGTCATTATTAGTAGATATATTTTTTTAAATCTCCATCATGCCAGCTGTCGAATATAAGCCTCCCCCTTGGGGGGTTGTGCCAGTAGTTACCTCGTTTGGCAGGTGGATCGGTAACTGCAGTAAGGCTTTGAAGATGTTTTAAAAGGGACGCTGTTGCCCATTCCTCGACCATTAAGAAAAATTGATATAATTGTTGTCAATTTTAAATCTGTAATTGGTTATGTGTACTAAACATAATACTATAATAGTTTTAAGATATATATATCTTATACTACGTTTATTACGTACATATGGTAACACGTACTTATTAATTAAGTACTAAATTATGTAATCACTGGTAAGTGACGACCTATGGAACCGAAACATGGTCCTACACGATTGCCCGTATGCAAAAGCTTCAAGTTACTAAGCGAGCTATAGAGAAGGCTATATTCGGAGTTTCTTTGCGTGCTGATCTGCGTGCGTGCGTGCATCTGAAACGAGGATATCCGCAAAAGAATCAAAGTAACCGACATAGACTGAAGGATAAGCAAGCTGAAGTAGCAATTGATTGGTCACATAGGTCGAAGAACCGACAACCGATGGGGAAGAAGGTTTTTGAATAGCGATCGTTCCTTATGGCAGTGTATTTTTTTTATACTACTTACAATGCCAAACAAGTTGACGGCCCACCTGATGGAAAGTGGTAACCGTCGCCTATAGACATGAGCAGTACCATGGACATAACAGAGTATACTGTTTCGCCCATGATACCCCCCATGTGTTGCCATTCCTGAGGACTCAGGTATTATTCCTCTGTACCCTGTAAATTCACGCCATATCCCACCCTTCAAACCGAAACACAGCCATGCAAACACAACTGCTTTACGGTTGAAACATGAGTGGGACAGGAGTACCCAAGCAATCGACTTTTGTACAAAGTCTCCCTCTGGTATGGGGGAGGCCTATGTTCAGCAGTGGACAGATAATGGATGATGATGATGATGATGTTATATAATAGTGGGAATCATTTATTTTAGTTATTTACCAATAATAAGAAATTCTGTTTAAAATAATTACAAACATTGTATTTCAATTAAATCTATTACTCAGTTACAAGAGTTTTAGGAACTTTAATAAAGAAACCACGAATTGTGGTGGCGGGGTCAATGACACGATAGGTCACGACACTTTTCATCAGTGTCGAATTATGCGGGTTTGCGTACCTATTTACACTGAGCGTTGAACAATTAACATTAAAGTACTATGAAGCATTTAGAATATTTCGTTCTAATTGACCTCGGATAGAATTAGGGTTGTCGAATTGAATTTATTTTATTAATTCAGGGGTTTTTTTTGATGACACAAAATATTTACATAGACATATAAGTAACATAAAAATCAGAGAAATTTCCAGAAGTAAATCTAATTAATGAATGAATGAATGAGTATACTTTATTTGCATCATACAATATAGGAAATAAGCAAGACAATTTACAAACACAACGATACAATTGTATAAGTACCGTAAGGCGGTCTTGTTGCTGAGAGCAATCTTTTCAAGACAACCTTAAGGTAATGGACTAATTGTTGTACAAGTAGGTATGATAGTACTGTATAATTAATATTGAATGGACAGAAATAAATATACTAAATATATACTATGTTAAAATTTAAATTTCCCATAATAAATTCAAAACGCCGATAAGTCGAGAGTGAATAATGAACACTGTGATTTTATCGTTTTTGCCAAATTGGGGATGTTGGACAAAAGCACTGAATTTTAATTAGTCCTTGAATACTGATTAGTGGAATGTAAATTTGATATTATTGAGTTCGTATTTTACGGTGTAACAGTGGCGAAGTTTTAGTCCTGGATAACTTTGCCTATTTACCAAATCTCGGCGGCGGAGTGTGATTTTACCTGTTTTAACTTTTTTCTTTTTGTATACGCGACTGTTCAATTGTCAATTTTAATTTAATTTAATTTATTTTAGACTACTGGGATCCATTTTTGTTAGCACGTGTATTTAAAAAGTGTGTTAATACTTAATCACTAATTATAATAATTAATAATCATTATTATTTATTTAGACAACATAAGGCCCATTTTGTTAGTTATAAATTTACTTAACATATTTTAGTAAATGAGCGGTCATGATATCTCTTGCATTGATAACCTGTCCCACCCGGAGGGGAAAGGGATTGTTAGTAATGGAGACTAAAAATCCCATTACTAACAATATACCCAACCAGGTCGACCTCCTCGTGGTTCCCCCTGGAAACTATCATGGTTAATTCCTGATGAATTCATCATGATAGGCTAATTGGTCTGTTTTCATTATCATCGATCACCCTTCACTGGTGCTCCGCCAGCGTATCCCATTAGCGCAGGCGGGGTTACCATTCCATTTTCATTCACCAAAAAAAAAAAAAGAAAAACCTGTCCCACTCAATATTTTAGGATGGGACAGTCCATTTTATCAGCAATTGTCTTCAGAACACTGTTTGAGCTAACACGCACCTTACCCAACAGCGAAACAATTTGTTTGCGTCGTATTGCGTAAAAATCATCTGTACGCTTTCGTGCAAACATGTATGACGCACTACAGTGACGGGGTAGCCCCAACAGTGCCCTGAAGGCATTATTCTATTGGACTCGAAGAGCATTGTAAGTTTTTTATTATACGAGGTCTGTCCGGAAAGTTCGTATAAAAGTGTTCTGGAATGCGAGAAAGAGGAGTGGGGAGGCCAGGTAAGCGCAGAACCCCTTCCTTATGTCCCTAACAATGCTTCAGTTCTGGTCTGACCGCCGTGCGGTGCGAACTGGCTTGTCACGCCATCTGTGAAGTTACCTCTTAACGAAACCCCGTCGGCATGGAGCCCGCTTCCGTTGAAGAGCAGCGCGTCGTAATCAAGTTTCTCTCGAAACTCGGCAAGAATGGCCGTGAAATTTTTGCCGATCTCAGAACAGTTTATGGGGATGATGCTGTGAAGGAACCAACCGTCCACAAGTGGCTAAAAAGATTCAGAGAGGGCCGAGAAAGCGTTCAAGATGACCCACGTTCAGGACGTCCTTCCACTTCACATTCCGACGAAAACGTGGAAAGAATTCGAACTTGTGTTAATGGGGACCGTCGTTTAACGGTCAGACAGTCGTGTGGCACGAGTTCGTCCAGAATTGGCGCGAGAGGGGCGTTGGATTCTTCACCACGACAATGCCCCTGCCCACACCTCTCTTGTTGTCCGTGAGTTTTTGAGTAAAAATTCCATTACGGTGACCGAACACCCCCTATTCGCCGGATTTGGCCCCGTGTGACTTCTTCTTGTTCCCAAAAACCAAATTGGTACTTCGGGGGCGGCATTTGGGGGACATAAATGAGATAAAAAAAGCTACGACGGGGCAGCTGAGAAACCTACAACCAGAGGACTTTCAAGGAGCCTTCTCACAGTGGAAACGGCGTTGGCACAAGTGCATTATGTCACAGGGGGAGTACTTTGAAGGGGATAAAATTGATTTACCTGAATAATTGTAAAATAAAATTTTTAAAAAACTTTTATACGTACTTTCCGGACAAACCTCGTAGTTGACTCACAAGCTACTCGTGTAGAATACCTGACAAAAAGCTTTAAACAGGGTTAACAGATAATGTTCTAGTCCTCCAGGCAAGCATTCTCACGAGAGGACTGTCTAATTTATTTATAAACATGTTTATTATTAATTTAATTTTGGCACAATGTAATACATAATCCTTAATAACAACCGCACGATACCACATAAGCCGTTAACTGTCTACTGCTGAACATAGGTCTCCCCTATAAGGGAGGGTTTTGCCCGTAGTCGCCATGCTTGGTAGGCGGGTTGGCAACCGCAGTTATGGCTTTGTTGATATTGTAAGATTGACGCTGTTGCCCATTCATCGATCATTAAGTTTTTTTCAGTAACCTCTTACGACACCCATGGGAAAGGTGTGGTTTATTCTACCACATGTCAAATAAATTGAGGTAGCAAACAAACATATGGCTCCCCTGATGGTAAGCGGTTGCCATAGTTACATGTTAGGGTATAAGTTACTCATTTACCAAATTTCACTCAATACCGTTTAACAGTTTTTGTGTAAAAGAGAAACAAACATTCATATATATATATATATATATATATATATATATATATATATATATATATATATATATATATATATATATATATATATATATATATATATATATATATATATATATATATATATATATATATATATATATATATATATATATAGATAATACAAATAACAGATAATATTAAATGAATGATACTGATTATATTAATAAAATAAAATTAAATAAATAAATTACAAATATTTACTCTATGTATACAAAGAAACTATATATAAATAATCTAATCCAATCTAATCCAATGGCCCATATAACCACTAGTAGATATATAGTACAAATATACATATATCGGAAGTCGATCTCGGAACCTCTGGTGATGCAACCGCGTTCCGGAGGCCGAACATGATGTTATAGTAAAAGTCTAACGGTCGAATCGAGTTGCGTACAAGGTCACTGGCAATGGCCCCGTTTGTTTACGAAACGCACACATTTCGCAGTTAATTTTTTTTTTATATATTCGTATATTTTGATGCAAATTTTAATAACACTGTAGTTGTAATGTGTTTATACTGTTGACGTACGTTTTCGAAATAAATAAATAAATTATAGAAGTACTTTAAATAATGTCAACATGAAATGAAACCCGTACGCTGTGAAATTTGTTTTATATTCGTATAGTTTATTGCAAATTTTAATATCACTGTAGTTGTAATGTGTTTATACTGTTGATCTACGTTTTCGAAATAAACAAATAAATTATAGAAGTACTTTAAATAATGTCAACATGAAATGAAACCTGTACGCTGTGAAATTTGTTTTATATTCGTATAGTTTATTGCAAATTTTAATA